CACATTTGTGAAATGGGCTCATTTTCTGTACTTCAGGTCAAGCTAGAGAACATTTTTGCTGTGATTAATAACTCATAAGTGTCTTCAATCAAAATGTGCTGTTATTTTTGTATCAATGTGGAACAACTCCAATATAACTTCACTTTAAACAAAGGTTGCACATTGTTACTTTTGACCCCGTTAGCAGGGATGAAAGTAACACACAGCTGGTTCAGAAGTAACAACAATATTTGCTAGATTTACTGGCTTAATCTTGTTGATTTGAAATATATCTGACTATGACCTTTTTAATGTTCACTGCAAACATATTTTGTCCTTTATTTCCATAATTTTCATTTTTAACTTCAGTTTTATTAAATGCTTCAAAAGCAATCCAACAATGGAAAATGTTACAATTTTTAAATATTTAGTATTATTATTGGAAATATGCTTTAATTTTAGAAAATATCTTCGTCAAAACACTGAAAACTTTGATGTGGAAGTGAAAAATAAAGTCTGTCTATTAGCAGTAGCGTATATAAATAAGAGTGTTACTTTCGTCCCCACAGGAACTCTTACAGTACCATTTAAACCTGATTTACTTTTAAACTGAAAAACTCAGAGATTGCAAACTTAAGGATGCGTTATTGCACTAAATAACCTGTAGACTGATCCTTACTATGATGCTTGAAAAGATAAACACAACTTGTAATAAGGAAAAATAAACTGCTACAATAGTTTACTTTCTCCACCTAAACTAAACTAAAATTTGGAGCTATCTGTGGGACACAGTCCTGAAATCAGTTGATATTTGGCAGCTCCATTAAGGGTTGCACGCTGAATATGTTATTATAGCCTGGGAATCAAATGTTGTCAGGGCTTCAAGAAAATTTCTTTGTCACTTTCATCCCTGCTCTACCCCACTGCACTGTTGGATGGAAAAATAAAAAAATGTCTCGTTTATAAAGGCACTTTCATAGTAGGTTACATAGTAATTGATCAGAATTGGAAAAGAAAATGTTTGGCCTTAAGTATTGCTAAGCCTGGAAAGGAATACTTGTGTATCATTCACTGCAGAACTACTAGTACTACAATTATCCTATCAACAATAATGTCCATTTAAAGCTATGTAAATTCAAACTGCTTCCAATTATTCTTTGCAAATGCTTTCTGGGATACAGTATTATAAGAAGTACTATAGGCTCTAAATGCGTACTTCCAGTTTTGGCTCATAAAGTGCATCCATCTGTCAATCTGCTAACAGAAAAGCTGCACACACAGTGTGACTATATGCAGTATGGTTGTTATGTTTTCTTCCATATCGGAAATACGCTTTGAGTGGTAAAATAAAAATAGGTTACTTTCCATTATGCCTGACACACACACACACACACACACACACACACATATATATATGTGTCCGTGGGCTCTTAAAAAATCACCAAATTCAAAACAAAAATTTAGGCCTTAAAAAGTCTTAAAGTCACAGAAATTTTGTCTTGTAGGTCCTAAATAATTGTAAACGGGTCTTCATTTTCCTATGTCCAATATCCAAGTACAGTTGCCCAATCGGGCCAACATGCATCCAATCTCAACAATCCAAGCAAACCAACAAAAATCTATTTAAATCTCTATTTAAAACTTATGGTTTAATTATCAGCTCTACAATAACATTTGTTTCGAATTTCCCTTTGTATTTATAGTCCATACTGTATATGGGGAGGAAACTGACCTGAACAGACTGTGTGCATACATTAAAATAAGATACAGTATGTTACAAATGTGTATGCTTACATCTAGGGTTTGCTTGTTTTGACAATTTATTTAAATATGTTGCTAAGAAATAACATATTTTTAATATAATATATAAAAAAGTCTAAAAGTCTGGAATTTCATTCGCAATGGTCTTAAAAAGTCTTAAATTTGACTGTTAATAATAAAAAAGAGCTGCACTACTTATGACTGTCCACTAGAGGGCAATGCTATTTTCAACACACTCTTGACATCACAAGGTGACATATGCAGCTGGTTGCCAAGGAGATTGAGTTTAGTATGACCCCAGAGCATTTTCAATCATGATTCAGCAGAAATGAGCTGAGGAGACAGAGGCCTCACAGAGATAGGTAATATCAAATCAGGTAGACGGAAGAAAAACAGTATGTGGAATTGAACCCATTCTACATATTTTCTTTTCCCCACTGTAATTAAATCTTATAACTTGCATGCAAAATTCTTCAAACCAGTAGCAGATGTTCTAAACAAACTCTCTATTATCTTGACAAATTGCTGTAATTGGTACTTAAAGTACACGTTGCATCTCAGCGACAAAACTAAAACCGTCTGAATAATTGTGCACTGGGATAGACAGAGAGGGGAAATGGAATGAAGTTTTAACTTAAGAAGTATTTGAAACAACAAATGAGTACACAAAGAATAACATTCTAATGGTGTAAAGCAGAGGTCCCCAAACTTTTCAGCCCACGACTCCCAAAATAACAATGCCAGTGACTCGTGACCCGCAAATTTCTTAGAGGTGGTTATAAATATACAAACATTGCGCATAACAACAATAGGCCTATATAAAGCATATTGACAACACAAAAAAACAGTATATTAACCATATGACTTTTACAGTGATTTATTCATTTATTTAATTTAGTGTTAACCTCACTTAAAGAGACTGGTGGGCACAATGTTTTCAGCACAAGTCTATTCTTGGCTTAATTTTGGAGACCCCCACTCAGAGATCATTCTCAGATGTTCAGTTGTGGCCTGTATTTATTTTATTGTATTTGATTGCCATAAAAGTGTCAAAGTTTTACCTGGTGCTATAAAATCAATCTGCTGCAGCTGACGCTATTGCTGTGTTGTTAATTGCTTTGTTGTAAACGTTAACACACCATTCATATGAAAAAACTATTGAAAGGCTGTAGGCTTTTCATTTGCATGTTGTCGTTTTTTATGTAACTATCAACTACTATTTTTATTTTCTTGGTTATTAATAGTATGTGGTATATCTTTTAGTTTAATAAAATTTATTTGACTTGATTTCTTGGAAATCACCAAGCAACCCCGTGTCATTGTCCTGCAACCCCCCAGGGGGTCCCGACCTCCACTTTGGGAACCACTGGTGTAAAGTATGAAGAATCTACTTTGTTAGAAACATTATTGAAAGGTGGACTAAAAGGCTGGTTAAAAATGGTAAACCTCTTTAGAAATTATTAATGTTATAAGTCTAAAAAATCAGTATCCCATTGCTCAATGTAATGTATTAAGTATGTTTACATGGACACCAATAATCTGATTAAGACATTACTCTGATTAAGATTCTACCATGTAAACAGTGATTTTTGATTAATTTAATTGGACTAAAGTTATAATCAAACTAAACAGAAATTGAAGGCATGTGGAGTATGCTGATTTTAGACACATTACTGAAGTGCAGTAAGGGACGCCGCTGTGGGGGGGAGCTGTTAGGACTATTCTAAGGGACCATGCATTTTGGTGGCATGCATGAAATGTTCCTGAATGAAAGTGAAAGTGCCAAACCGCAGTTAATCGACAAATTCAAAATTAAACTACGGAAGAAACAAGGATAACGTGGTGACGCAATGACGTTAATCGAATCCTGTGCTATAACATGTAAAACGGGATTATAAAAGGAACATTCAAAGAGTAACTCATGTAAACACTTTAAACATATTATTGTCTTGTTCAGATTAAGGTAAATAATTCAATAACTGATGTCCATTTAAACGTAATCAATGACTTATTTAGGGATTGGTCTTCAAATCTAATAATTTTACAGGCACATTACGAGCTATTAGGAAAAGCTGCTATTTGTCAGTAGGAAACAGCTTTAGAAAACTACTTCTTTAGGTGCCATTTTGATGCATATTGTACATTCATTTCAGACAGCCAAGCGAGACTTATCCAACCTCCCCCACACTCTATCTGGGACACTTCCCTATGTTTTAAATCCACTGCTGTAATTTAGGCTAACTGCAGCCTTTCAGAATTCTGTTTTGTATACCCTCATATTGACCTCATATTTTTCTGTCTAGAATTATGCCCCATTGGGAAAATGCCAATCAGGCTATTGTTACTGCTGTATAGTGTATTAGCTCAAGCTGCATTTGTGCCAACTGTCTCTGCCACAAAAAAAGAGTGGATCTGATTGGCTGTTACATAAAAGGTGTGGTTGTCCAGCCAGAGGGTTTTTGGCAAGGATTGTGGTGTGCAGAAATCTTATGCTCTATGGTCGTAGAAAAAAAAAGCTGATTGCTGTGTTCTAGTCTCTCAGTCAGTAAACATAACTGATCTACTGGCTCAATTACAGTTCAGGGGACTCTGGGTGCATGACAATTAGCCACATTGAATAAAAATTCAGGCTCAGCTGGCTGATTATCATGGTTGTAATTGATTTATTGCTTGTTAATTCATCAGCTTGCTTCACATTCATGCTTCTATACGCAACTTTTAATCTTAAGATTAAATGTTGTCACAGTGCTGTGTTTTGTGTTGGGGACGTTCATGTCTACAGCACCTTAAGGTACTTCCTAATGTGCTCTTAATTTTCACTGACAAAGTCCAGTCAATTCTGTAGGAATCCACACAAACTGGAATTTCCAGTGGGGGCTAAATATTCCTTTGTGCAGCATATGTCACACATGTATGTTTGTATGCCATGATCATGTGTATTTGTCCTATTGAGCAACAGACAACCCTCAGAGTTTTGCTAATGTGTGTTGTTTGGTGTATTATTATCTATAGATATGTAAATATAAAAGTAGGAGAGAGGGATAATCCCAAGGCAACAAATACAAATTCATTCTTGCCGTATTGGCTGCCAACCAGTTGAAGGCCATTGAATTATTGTGCGTGTTTGCGTGTATGTGGAGCTCTGAGCTCACCAGGCATCAGAGCAGGAGAGGGAGAGAGAGAGGGAGGGCTGAGCACGTGAATAGGAGGAAAGGAGAGAGAGGAGGAGGGAGAGAGGGAGGAGGAGGAAGCTAAAGCAGCAGCAGCATATTCTCTGTGGCTGCAGCAGACTGGAGATGAAGCTCTTTTTTTCCCGCTGGTGTCTACCAGTGAGAGCAGAGGAGCTACCCAGCAACTGAGAAGAGCATACATGCAACCTGTTCTTACTGGAGCTCCGGGCTTCCTCTCTATCCCGCAGGCCTCTTGAAGCACACCACATATACAGCAACACGTATTCTTTCAGTCTCAGAATCGGGATCTCGCAACCCTGCAGACTCAAACATGTAAGTCACCCGTTTTCATTCGCACCTGATTTGTGCAAAGGAAGGCGCCGTATAAATTGGATCAATTTTGCCGTGCTTGACTGATGGAGCTGCGCTTTTTTCAACACTGGGGCAACCGCTCTGTGAGGCTTGCAGTGCAGCTCTGGCTTTGGGGAGGATTCCTCTGGATTTCCCTCCTGTCCTCATCCAGCCATGGTTCAACTACCCTGCCCAGCCCTGTCCTGGTGGCGTTCTAATTAGATTCCACGACCAGAGAAGCCGACAGCATCAGGGAGCGGCACCTTGTCAGCTATCTCTCTTTCTTTTGTCTACAAATCCTCAATCTATGGATGTACACTGCTTAGTGGTGAAACAAGGAAGACAGGATGGCTTAAACCCGTATCTACTTATTATATGAGACTGGACTATGTCCATATGATGTCTATTACAAGCCCTCTCAGCAGGGAAAAAGTGGCTATTGAAATTTGCTGGCTGAAGGTGAGGTCTTCACTCATGGTAGTCACTGTCCTCTTTATTGACTTGAATTTGCTGGCGTCAGTGCATGGGATGCCAGTTCCTGTGACAGCAGAGGCGAGACATTTAGTACTTAGCCCCCCCTCTTTTTCCTCTTCACAGTCTAGAGACTTGTTTTAAAGGAGCTTGCATACCTGGGAGTTGAAACACATAGCTACAGGTGTGAAAAGCAACCATCACATGACATGGATTGGTTACGCTTGAGCGATGAACAGATCAGAAGCTGTGTTTGCTCTGTTGGGTTATGACTAAACTGTAGATGAGCTGCCTGACTGTGCACTTTGGCAACTATTGAGTGATCTAAGACCGTTACACAACTTTACTGTAAATGGTTTCCCACAGGGCTACTACATCATCTGCCCAACGCATTAATACCCTATGTGATGTAAGCAATATGGAATGCAGTGATCAATAATGTATAGACTGAATGTCAAGCTGGTGGTCTTACTGTACAGGTTATGGTTTTCTCCAGTTTGTAGTTGTGTGCTGAACTGATGATTAGTGCTTCCTAATGATGCATCATGATGCAGAATTATTGAGTATGTGCACGTTTGCTCACAGAAGTATGTCTGTGGATGTCTGCAGTGCAGTTTTATCGTGGTTCTCACCTTGAGAAATATTTACAGTGCAATAGGGTTTCTTGACAAATTATGTTTACTATAACAAATGGCCTGCTATTTAACATGCAGCCTATGAAATGGGTTAAGAGGGACCATCTATTTCTTCACTTAGTGCAGCATCGTCTCTGCATCATGAGAGAGTGAAAAAAAAAACATCAAAAGCCTTGCTGTAGGATTTTAATATTTTATAAAGGACAGTAACCTATATTCAACATCATATCCTAGAGGCTTGCTAGGACCCTAGTTTAACTGCAACATTGCCTGAAAGACATCAAAAAGAGAGGGTCAAGTAATAGAAGAAATAATTGATCTCCAACCTAGTTGGCCACTGGTGTCTGGGGAGAACATCAACCTGTACCAAACCCTGCTGTCATGGTTAATACTTTTTTATCTTGATTTTCACTCCAGATATGGGATCAACTTATAGAATTTAGAGTTAACTTGACGGCCTTAGGCTGGCTGTTCTGTCAAACTGCCCTGCTACAATTGTGACTTTTTCCACATTTTTAAAGTTTGGCTACTTTTTATTGTTACTCTGTCTCTATGAGATATGGGGAGCTCCCTTGGTTGTGTAAAACAACCCAGGGACACCGGACCAGGTGGTGGTGCACCTGTATCACCAAAAAGAAAACTTCGCTTTAGGCGAAAAAGAAAGGCCAAACAAAAGTTAAAAGGTTCTGAAGTAGAGGACAAGAGATGCCGTGTTCTTGAAGAGAAGGATGAAGGAAGCGTTGAACTTACAGACGAGTCAACTGCAAGGGCTCTTGATTCAACCAAATTGGTATCTGGCCAAATAACTACTGAAACTGAAACGCCCACCAGTGTCATCTTGGTTCCTGGTATGGCCCCAATATTTGGAAGTACAGGGACCCTGCGGGGGAGTAAAATGGCTATTCTTTCCCCAGATCCCAGTCCAGCATGGCTGGGGGCACTTCGCCAGTTTGAAGTAGAGGGGCTTAGTGAAGAGTCTAATACTGAATTAGAGCAAGGCAACACAACACCTGGAGGAGGAAGAGTTTGTAAGGTTCGGGAGCGAGTTCAAGGGGTGCTAGAAAGACCCTGCCTTTTACGCTCTAAACGTGGTGACCTGGAAATAGAGGAAGATGAACATGGACCAAGTGAATTGATGTTCAGTGTACCCTCAAAAACCGAGAAGAAGGGAGTTGTTCACATTCGTGAGTTTGGAGGGCAACTTTGTGTGGTCCGAACTGTTTATCCAAGAGACTATGGATCGCCCGTCTGGCGTGACAAGGTACTTGAGGTCCATTCTGAACCTCCAGCTGCATCTCCTGTTACAGAAGGCATTATGAAAGTACAAGTGTCCCCAGCTCAAGGACGACCACCCGGGAAGAACAACTCTGCCAAACCAGAAACAGCTGCAGCTCAGGGAAAAAAAGTGAAGGAGTTCCTATTGGACAGCTCTGCTCATGTAGTTGGAGGCTTTAGCCATCCACCACAAGACCTTCAGTCTTCAGGATATGCTAGCGATGTGCCTCTTACATCGCCTGAGACAGGAGGAGCTGTCCATACTGAATGGGGGAGCTCCTCCGATGTGCTTGATTCTTCGGTTCTGGAGAGTCCCATCTCGCCACAAGAGACATTGACTCAGCCTACCACCCAGGTCAGATTCTTTTCTCTCTGCCTGCCTAAAGCTCTTTCATGTGACTTTTGTAGCATTCAAGGGTAGAGATTAAAGCTGACAAGATTTGTGTGTGTATTGTGTATTGGGGTGTAGATGAATGAGTGTTTTGCGTTTGTTTTTGTAATTCTACAGTACTATCAGTTCTGTGACTTGTTCTTCTCCAATCAGCTGAGCATTGAACACCGCAGATCCTTCCTGACCTTCTCCCAAGAGTCTAATCAGTACTACCCAGACCATCTCTCACTGTCTGCCTCCTTCCCTCCATTCCTCATTATTTCCCTAGCCTCACACCACCCACTCTCTTTCCTGTCATTCCTGATGCTCTAGGTTCTGAATTAGAGTGAAACGGCCTGGCAGTGCCAAAAAACAAGAACACAAGTGATGTTTGCAGACACTTTGTCAGCTGTTTATCATTTTTTTTTTTCTTAGCACCAGTGTAAGATTGCAGCATATTTGTGTCTGTTGCCTGCCCTCTCTTACCTAGTGATTTGCCTGCACACTAAAGATTTATGGCTGGTGAAGAGAGATTTCAGGGCCTCGTTACAAATGTTCTGATAGTGTGTCTGCAGGATTTAGTTTATTAGATGCTTAATCCTAAGTATTTTCAGTCCATGCTTGGCCATGCAGTTTCAGTGATGTCTACTAAAACACCCGCCTTGGTAGAATTCCTGTTATGTATTAAAAATATTAAAGAAATGCAAAATAAGTGCAACCTGAGGCTAAGAATACATGAAAAAACACATAAAACAGTCAATAGCTTCTTTCTTTTAAAAGAAGTCTTTGTGATGCTTCTCTAACCACTTCAGGCAAATTAAAAACATTTTGTTCCACCAATCCAGTCAAAACCACAGCTTTAATCTCTCCTTTTACCAACTGCCGATTAACAGAGATTTGATCTCTGAGAGGTGATAGGCTATTACCGACAAATCATCTTTACGAAATGTATCAATGAGATCCAAAGATGGATTCTCAATAAGCTGAAGCACCAATGAAGACATCACAAAGCTTAATGTTAACAACCAACTACACAGGGTTATAAAGTTTGTAACACTCACCTAGCTTCAATATTTCCATAATGTTTGTGTCGGGTCACAGCAGCTACTCCCAGGGGAAAATACGGGCTACCAAAAATATATATGGCTTCCTTGACGCTAAGGAAGGATCCCGGACGAGCACCCAAATTATGTTACACTCCGTGTGGCTCGGAGGATGAAAAGGGCTAAAGATAATTATGACAACCCAATTTTTTTAATTCCCCTGAGACTATAGCTACTATGGATCGCCACAGACAATGGATGTGGCAAAGAGTGGTTCGCTACGTGTATGTAAAATGTAAGTCACATGACATATTTTACTTCCCTTTTAGTAGTTTTAAGCAGATTTGGTTTGGACGTTCAGAATAAATGTACAACTAAATAAAACTGGAATAGGACAGGTGCACAAACGTCAGAAAGACAGAGCAGGGACAAGCAGGGACTCCCCCTCTGCGAGCCAATCGGAACACCAAGATTTTAAAAGGACAGCCGACAGCAAATAAAAATGTGAAGGGGAAAAGGGAACAACAGAGCAACATCCCCAGGCACGTAACAGTTGGGGAGGAATATTTATTTTTTGCTTTCCCTGCTTTCTATTTCATCACATTATATATTTGTAATATTTGCCAGTATAGTGGAATTGTTGATTTGCATTTTTTATTGTTTTATTTTAGTCTCTTGTACTGTTTTGCTTTTGTCGTGATTTTGTTTGGTTTCTCAGATATTACTTTTTATTTTTTACCTAATTAGCTTCTATTATGCACAGTTGGCCTTTGGTGTCACGCTAGCATAACAATAGTTTTAAGTCATACATTGGAGTGTTCGTTCCTCTGCCAGTAATGTGCTCAGTGTTAACTGTGATGTAATTAGACTTTGAGGGTTTAAGGGTGCAGTCCTGACGCTATTATAAGGTCACATACTCAGTCATCCACATTGTGATGAAAATACCACTGTCACAGTATGACATGCCCACTGTATTTATGACACACACAGCATGGTGTCAAACCTACATTTAATATCTCATGCCCTTGTTGATTTCTCTTGAGAATAATATGATTTTTTGCTAAGCATGTTTGATGGTGATACCAAAAAAAGAGGCAATGTTTGGGTGGGTTTTTTATGGCTCAGAGCCTGGGTGATTGGACTAGCATTAGCAATCTTCTGCCTTCACCTTTTAATCATCTTTAAAGTAAGAGGCTCAGACTGGTTACTTTTCTGTTTCTGTATGTCTCCAGATTTGACCGAGGCAATCTTGGCTTCTGTATGTCACCATTTTTGACCATGGTAATCACGGCCTGCATTGACTTAATCTGTAAAATCTGTAATTTTCTCACACGTTTGTCTGTGCTCTCAGAATTGTCTGCATTCATGCCAGGATTTAAAGAATTCCTTGCTAGCGCTGCATGAAAAAAAGCAGGCAGGGATGTGAATAGGGGCATATGAGAGGAATGACAAAGGAATACAGATTAGAGCCTGGCACAGACTGATACTGCAGTTACTGACTCTCTTTGTTTTAGAGGAAGAGGGAGTGAAAGTCGAGGAAAATGATAAGTGAAAGGTTCATGACCTTGCTATGGTTTCATTTGGTACTTGGGGTCAAAGAAACATGGAATAACCCTAAAAATTTACATTTGCAAGGAAGTAATGCTCAACCTTTTTGGTGCACGGATCCGGTCACTTTCCTTATATTCAGTTAAGTCATTTGATGACATTCAGATACAATAACAGCCTTTTCTTTTTCCCAGATCTCTGAGATCTATGTGAGCGGTGAGTCAGGTGACCTCACGGCGAAAGAGAAGCTGCTAATATGGAGTCAACAGGCCACTGAGGGCTACCCCGGTCTACGCTGTACCAATTTCTCCTCCAGCTGGAGCGATGGACGCTTGTTCAACGCTCTTCTGCACAGATACAGGTTCACACACGTTTAAGTATATTGACCAGTTTAAAAGAAAATATGTATATTAGGGGGTAACACTCTATTTTGATGGTCCACTTGAGTATGAGTAGACTATCTGCTTAACGTCTGTTGATATTGCTTCTTCAACTGACTATAAGAAACATCGCAAGTCTACTTGACAGTCTACTTATAATCTAATAAAAATTAGTTGGCATGTAGATGCAATGTAACTTAAATTCACCCAACAGACCTTCAAAATAAAGTTTGACCTATTAGGGCATTGACACTCATGATCTTATGTCATTTTTAGGCCGGACCTAATTGACATGCAAGTGGTTGCGCAACAGAGTAACCGTGAGAACCTTGAACAGGCCTTTGAGATTGCCGAGTCATTAGGGGTGACTCGACTCCTGGATGCTGAAGGTACCATTAATGTCTTTAATGTCCAGTTATCATTCTTCGTACATATGAGAATTATTATTTGCCAATCTCCATTTTATCACCTTATCAATTTTTCAATGCTCTCCCTCCATTAGATGTTGATGTGCCGTCACCAGATGAGAAATCTGTCATCACGTACGTCTCCTCCATCTACGACGCTTTCCCCAAGATCCCAGAGGGTGGAGAAGGCATTGCAGCTCATGTACGATCACTTCAGAGTGCACTCACTGTCTGCTCAATTATGAAAAAAATCATTATCACGATTATATATAATATGTATATATGTATGTATGTATGTATGTGTGTGTGTGTGTGTGTGTGTGTGTGTGTGTGTGTGTGTGTGTGTGTGTGTGTGTGTGTGTGTGTGTGTGTGTGTGTGTGTGTGTGTGTGTATATATTTCATAGATCCTGAAATTTCTAAATTTTCAATACTGAAGCCAAATGGGTTTTATGGGACACCATAAAAACACAATAGAATAAAATATGCAATCAAAGTAAACAGTTTTAAGCATCTTACCAGTACGATTTAAGCTTTATTTTTATTTTAATTATTATTATTAAACATACAAAAGTCTTTCAGGTAAGATTAGTGAGTGATTTTTGTCTTTTATTTGATTAATAATGACAAACACAGTCAGGAATATAGAGCACTGTTTGGATTTATGGTTACACTTGGCTTTTTATTCTCAACTCTTTATTAATTTATTACATAACAAAGAGGATTAGTTTAAATAATGACTAAGCAATGCTTTTTACACATTTTTGCAAGTATTTGACCGTTTAGCATGCACCTTAGATGTTTGATGGCATAATCGTGTATATAAAAAATAATCAAACAGGGAGAGTCTGAAAACCTTTTTGTACAAGGAAACAGTTGTTTCAACTGTTCTTTCACATCTGCAGCTGACCGTCAGAACAGCAGAAACTGTTGCTACTTCACAAACGTCACTTTAGCGCTAGTATTTGAATGATTCTCTAGCATAATGTCTAAAATGATGACAAACAGGTGATTCTGCTCAGATTATAAGGCTGAACCGCATGAAATGCCATCAGTTTTCAGAGATTTCCCAGTTTTTTTTCTGTTGCAATTTGGAGATCATAATAATTAATCCCAAAAAAGCCAGAGCAGAACAAACCCTAGCAGATTACTATGGTATAAATATAGCATTACAAAATACAAAAGAGAGAGATCGACTTAGAATGCCACTTACCTGTGGCCATCTGTACCATCTGCAATGATTTGTTCAGCTGTAGTTTGAAACGTACTCTGAAAAAATGCTGTTTTTTCTCTCTTAAGGACTTATTATGTATTCTGTATTATAATTATTATTATTATTATTATTATGTATTATGTATTATTAACGTCTCTTAAGGACGTTATTATTATACCGTCTTTGCTCTGCTCAGTATGGGCGAATCTCCAAAATGATGAATATTTAAAATAGGCAATATGCTTATAAATAAACTGCATAGTTGCAATCTAAACAACTACAATCTCGTCTGAAAAAAGTCTCAAAAGTACATTATGTTGTCCAACAGCTGCAATGTTTGTCAAACTGTAATTCTCGTGTGGGAGGAGTAATACACAGTGGTGAAGAGGCTGTATGAATGCTGATATTCCTTCATATTTCTCACTGCTAACAGCTAATCAAATTCAAGAACCAGACAGAACTGTTGTATAAATTCATGTTCTATATTTCAAAAGTCATGTTACATGATTTTACTGATTTCCACTTGGAATTAAGCTGATACAAACAAATGGACTGCTGGAAAGGAGGCAGGATATGACGCAATAAATTTTGATCTCAATTCATGTTTTTTGATAATCATTAGAGGCACTTAAATTTGAGTAAGTGCGCAGCCCTACTATCTGCACCTTCTATGCTCATGCCATTTAAACTCTTGGTCTAATATGTGGTTTCTATTGTTCAGGAGGTTGACCAGCGATGGACGGAATACCAGTCTGGCTTTTCTTCTCTGCTGCAGTGGACCAGGCAACACACAACCCTCATGGCCAATAGGAGCTTCCCCCACAATCCTGTGGAACTCAAAGTAAGAATACTTGAAGAAAGGATGAATCGAGACAAGAAAGGCAGTATTTATGAAGAGGATATATATATATATATATACGACCTTGACTGTTTACCAAAAGTCTTATCTTCCCCAGGCACTTTATAATGAATATGTCCACTTCAAAGAGACAGAGATCCCTGCAAAGGAGAGAGAGAAGAGCCACATCGAGCACCTTTACAAGCTCATGGAGGTGAGAGAGATTGCTGGGTAGAAATACAGAGAGAATGGCAGAGAGAGAGAGAGAGAGAGAGAGATTGAGACTGACCTTGATTCTGCAGCTAAATGCAGACGACACTGTTCACAAGAGGCACAGTGAAGCTGTACATTACCAGATTCAGGATAATGTAGAACACAATGCTGCCATGTGGTAGAGGTGGAAAGCTGACGGTGTAAAGTAAACACGCTTGTAGATTATGTTTAAAATGATTGATGTTGTGTTGTTTAGGCGTGGATAGAATTTGGGCGCATTAAGCTTCCTCAAGGGCTACACCCTAATGACCTGGAGGAGGAATGGGGGAAACTGATCCTGGAGATGTTGGAGAGAGAGAAAGCACTGAGGCCTGCTGTGGAGAGGTTAGTGAGTGCATGTCTAGATAACATTAAAGGGTGTAGTTCACACAAAAAAAACCGTCTGCCATTATTTACTAACCTTTGACTTGTTCCAAACCAATCATATTGGTTTTTGGTAACACTTTACATTAGGGGTGCACAGAATATTCGGCCACTGAAAATTTTCAATTTTCGGCCGAAAGATTTTTATCACTGAAACAACATGAGCGAAACAGTATGTTGTGATGACGCAAACAGAAATAGCATGCTGTCTGAAGCAGCATGTTTGCGGTGTGTCTATTCCATCTATTCGTATCCTCTGCACTTCATTGCGACTGTCCTCGATCAGTGTTATGAAGATCATTACTTGGATGCAGAAATAAAGCAGCGCACACTTGAAATGATCCAGACCGGGATGAATGCAGAGATAGAGCAGAGTCAAGAGATAGAGATCAGTGCCCAGTTGCATGAAAGTCCTTAATGGCCTGTTTTCACTGAGTTTCTTAAACTTTATTAGGCTTCCACTGCCAAACAGGTACCAATGGTACAACAACAGACCCTTACAGTCTTCGATATGTTAAAGAGCCCATATTATGGGTTTTTGAAAATTCCCCTCCATGTAGTGTGTAACACAGCTCTAAGTGAAGTGAAGTATCCAGCTAAGGCTTAAATCTGTAAGAATACAGTGTTTAAAACGGTTGATTCATCTATAAAAGAGTCGACTCATAGTGCTTCAAACGAGTCGCCTTGATACCGATTCATTAGGTGTTTCGCCATGACGTACGAACGAAACCAAGTTATTCACGTGCACGCGCAAACCCGGGAGATTTCAAACCTGAGGCCCCTCCCTCTGACGCAGAAACCCAGACACACACACACACACACACACACACCCACACACCCACAAACACACGCACACAAACATGCCGGTCGATTGAAGTCACACTGCAGATGGACATTATCGATTCTCTACCCAGAGATGAAACCTCAGCATTATAACCAAGCAGTTGGAAACTTCTGAAAACTACAGGCTACAAAGAATACTTCATCTGCGTTTGTTAAAGTAAGGATCAGTAAAGAGTAACTTACTAATGGACGTCAGGATGAGTTTCTTCCTCCATTTCTCAAATGTAAGTACGTGCGATTAAAGTTGCCTCGTTGACTCTAGCTTGCAAATGTATTTAGTTGTGATTTGTTACTTGTAACCGCGTGTACTGTATCAGGTTAACTGGCTATATTCTCTTATCGCGTGCAAAGTCACGTTAAAAACGCGACGCGTGCTGTTTGTTTACGGAGCTCCGTGGTAGAGGTCTGCATTCCCGCGGCTGTCCCCGCGCCAGATTTCTGCGGCGCGGGAATAAATTTCCGAATCAATCGCGGGAGCGGTCGGTAACAGGTTTAATTTGGGACGGGAGCGGGCTTTCTAGCAATATCGTGGATATTGCTATGCGAATGAGACAGAGCTTTGCCTGCCTGTGTGTCTGCTTGGCGCTTGTGTGTATGTGTTAGTGCGCGCGTATGAGAGAGAGAGAGAGAGAGAGAGCTCTGTCTGGCTGTCTCTGGACTGTTTAGCTGGGTGATTTTCGGTTATGTTCTCCCCCGCTCTTTAGCGGGATCGGGCGCGGCGGGCAGAAAACGGGGCGGTTCGGGCACCGGGACAAGAAATTCTAAATATAAGCGGGAGCGGTCGGGTTCAGGCTAAAACCTGGCGGGTGCGGGCGGAAGCGGGAGCGTTGTCGTCCAGAGGTGTGTGTGTGTTTGTGTGTGTGTGTGTGTGTGTGTGGCAGCTAAAATCCACGCCTACACTATGGAGCGCGTATGAACTGTGATTACTTTTATATTGCTGATTAGCTATTGGGCATTTCATTCTCTGACTGAAGGCAGTCGACCAATCGTGACAGACTGTCATCGGTCCAATCAGCGCAGATTAGCTTCGCGCTAAGGAGGGGTTTGGGAACAAATGAATCACTGGACGATTCATACCGGAGTCGCTGGGATAATTAGGTAAAAATAAATGCAGATTATAAGACCATGAAAGTGTTTTTTGATGCACTTTGCATGCATATTAGACTGTTGTTGGAGACCCTTACAACCAAGATATGACCCTATTTCATGTATAATATGGGCTCTTTAACAAATTATGGATAAACTACACACAGCATACATTTATTTGGGTACAAATACAACATACAATCTTCGCCAGCACATGTAACCTCTAGTAGAAAGTGACTCTATCATTCCGAGTTCATAATAGTCCAAAAGTTGATGATTATAGTTAAACATGGAAGTTTTGTTAATGTTTTAGGTTGCTGAAAGAATCGTTTGCTCTTTTGTTTCAAAAACAAAAATTTTTATTTTTTTTTCAATTGATCGAACAAGTGTCTTGTAGGTCTAAAACCATTTCAATTTTTTATGTAAAACTACCCAATCAATCTAGCACACATCCAATCACCAACAAATTCATCTGAATTAAACTTTTAGAACAGTCTGTTGCGCATACATTTAGTTATTAAAGAGGTTTTTATGTTGTTACTTAAAAATATACATATATAACTAGAGTCTGCTTGTTTTGACACATTATTTAAAATATGTGGCTACAAAATAACTCATTCGAACTATATATGTAAATCATATTATAATAATTTTTTTCCGATAAGAATTCCTTAGCGTTTAGCCCTGTTTAAGTTTGAAATTTCATTCTTCATGGTCTTAAAAAGGTCTTAAAAAATCTTAAATTTGACTTTGTGAAACCACATAAACCCTGTATAATCCTGCGATCTGTCTTATGTAAAGCATCTTTATTTGGGTGAGAGTGCTCATCCATTGTTGCAATGTGCTAAATAAATATTGTTGTTTTTTTTTGTAATTGATTTATTCTTAGAAACTTTAATATTAATTTATGTAACTGCAAAGCCCTGATTATAATGGGGTTTGTACACAATCATAGTAATAAATGTTATGGTGCTAATAACTGGCATCATTTCTTTCTGTGTTTCGGTTTTCGGCCTTGCTTTCCTCTTTTTTCAGTTTAGGTCAAGAATTTTCATTTCGGTGCATTTCTACTTTACAGAGGTTGTATTAGTTAATGCATTGACTAACATTAACAAACAATGAACAATACATTTATTACAGTATTTATTCATCTTTGATAATGTTAGTCAATGGAAAAAAAGTTGTTCATTGTAAGTTTAACTCACTGTGCATTAACTAATGTTGCATGAATTAGGGTTTTAATGATATATTAATACAATTTGAACTGTGATTACTAAAGGCTGTTTTAGTATTGCTCATTATTAGTTTGTTTAGTAATAAATTTATTAATTAACATTAACTAATAAGACTTCATTGACCGAGTTTTTTTGACCTGTAACCATTGATTTCCATATTATTTGTTTGTTTGTTTTTTTCTACTGTGGATGTCAATGGTTACAGGTTTCCACTATTCTTGAGAATATCCTCTTTTGTGTTCATTAGACCAAAACTTGTCAAACTGGTTTGGAACAAGTCAAGAGTGAGTGATTAAGCAATGACAGAATTTTCTTTTTTGTTTTAACTAACCCTTTAAGGATGCATTTAGAAGTGTAGCTCTTTGAAATGAGTTCCAGTGTTTCATGATCTGTAACTCTGGTCTTCAGGTTGGAGTTACTCCTACAGATGGCCAATAAGATCCAGAACACGGCTTTAGATTGTGAAGAGAAACTCACGTTGGCGAAGAACACTTTGCAGGCTGTAAGTGTTTCTGTGGGTGCTGTCTGATCCATAGCCTAGTGAGCTAAACTAAATTATTGGTTTGTAACATTCTTTATTATCAGAAGTTACACCTATACAGTGCATATGAACTCTAATAGAGTCTGATGTTGGTCATTAAGCTACTTAGCACACTACTAAGTTGAAGTTGAGTTTTTTTTATACAAAATTTGAGCTTGTGCCAATATTTTTATCTGTTATGATAGTCACTGTGTCATCATGAAGTTTTGACATCAAAATACTTGTTAAGTTACGAACAAAATAAAACTGTCAGACTACATGTTGCCCTCCAACCAGTAATTGCTTGCATGAACAACAAATGTGGAGCTACTGTAGATGTGTACTGTATGTACGGAAACACTTAAACAAATAATAGTTACCAACGACTTCAGAAATCACAATAAAAGCAGGACTGTTGTTAACAGCTTCACAAACCTCACCTCCGTTGCATAATTTGACCAAGTGGCATCATCTCTATTATCATTTCTATTTACCTATTGGTCAGCTTCATAGATGTAATGGAATCCAAGCTGGAGGACAGAAATAAAATGATATATGCTAGTCTTTTTGTTGGGACTTGTTGAAGTATTCCTGTCTCAGATGTGGTGTTAGCTGTCCTTCACTATGTTTTATATATTACTACAAATAGATTTACTACAAATCACAACAATATATTTTATAAAACTATTGATTCTTGAGTTCAAACTCCATTTTTTGTTTACAAATCACCCCAACATCCCACGTCAATCTCTGCTAATTAATTTTGGGTTTTAATATTGCATAATCTAAACCTGGCACAAGAATATCCACAACAAATACAATATATTCATATTCAACATATTCAAAGCAAAATTGATGCTTTGATATACAGTACAATCACATTAAGCAGCTCACTTAAATTTGAGACCTACAGTTGAAGTCACAATTATTAGCCCTCCTGAATTTTTAGCCACCCCGTATATTCATTTCCCCAATTTCTATTTAACAGAAAGCACATTTCAACACATTTTCAAACATAATATTTTTAATAACTCATTTCTAATAACTGATTTCCTTTGTCTTTGCAATGATGACAGTACATAATATTTTAATAGATATTTTTCAAGACACTTCTACACAGCTTAAAGTGACATTTAAAGTGACATTTAAAAGTGCCAAATCATTGTATAATGATGGTTTGATCTTTAGGTAATTGAAAATAAATATTGCTTAAAGGGGGCTAATAATATTGACCTTAATATGGTTTTTAAAAAATGTTTTTATTCTAGCTTTTTTTTTAAAACTTTTTGTTTAAGCAATATATTTTTCACAGAACAACCCCTCTTCAACGGTTTACCCCTTAAACACAAGGGGATACATAAAAAAAATAATAATAATGATAAAATAATAATAATAATATTAATAATAATGATATTATTAATAATAATAATAATAATAATAATTAAAGAAAATCAATAAAAAATAATAAAAAATAAAAGGTATTTCCATTATAATTACTTCACAGGAGATACATTTGTTCATCAAGTTACATTGTGTTGCATCGTAGTTACATCCAATTACAGTGATGATAAGGTGAGGTTAAGCAACCTCTAAATATAATTATCTAAATATGTCACAACACATTTCCATCTCTTCAGAAAAATATCAGTCTTCATTTGTAGACATGCAGTCATTTTTTCCATTATAGACCTGTTTAAGTCTCTGAATCCACTGAGCCACCTTTGGAGAATTTTCTTCCATCCAATGTACTGTTATCATTTATTTTTATTTATTTATTTTTTTGCAACCAGTAATAATATCCTTAGGACAAATCTTGTTTCCTTATTAAATATTTCTTTGGGCATTGCTCCCAGTAAGCACATAACTGGATCGAGGGGTATTGCTATATCTAATATCTTATCTATTTCTTCTTTAACATTGTTCCCAAAATTCTTGAATCTTAGGACAGTCCCAAAAATGTGGGTATGATCTCCAATTTTACCACATTTTCTCCAACACAAAGCTACAAATGGTCCTTTTACATATGTAGATATTACAAAAGGAGTATTAAAGTACCTCATTTTTACTTTCCAATCAAATTCTTTCCACAATTGACTATTAACAAATAAGACTTTCTTATGAAAAATAATTATAGGAAATACTTTGAAAAATGTCTTGCTTTTTCAAACATCATTTAGAAAAGATTTGACAAATAAAAATTCAAAGGAAGGCAAATCATTTGACTTCAACTGTACATATATAGAGAAGTTCACTTTTATCTTGTGTCATGCAATTTGATATTTACTCTTCAGAAATGTACTTGATTGGATTGTGTCTTTCCTCAGGACATGTCTCAGCTAGAGAGCGGGCAGCCGGTGCGGTGTGAGAATGAATTGGGGATGTATCTGCAGGATTGCGAGGCTCTGGTCAGACAGCTTCACCTTGACCTGCAGGTCCTCCGAGATGAGAAGTACTACCAAGTTGAGCAGCTGGCTTTCAGGTAAGAGAAAAGTGCAGCCAGTTTGAATCATCCTTGCTGAACAAAATGTGCACATTTATATTTCCATCCAGCAGTTCTAATCCTCATGTTATTTTCCTCTTGTAGGGTGTCATGTCTGCAGGAGGAGCTGGTCTCTTTGCGCCTGCAGTGTGCCAGCGTGTACAGGAAGGGTCATTTCTCTACGGGTGGTTTGCTGGGGGAGCATGTGGGTCAGAGGGGATCTTCAGGGGGTCTGGCTACACTGGGAGCACAGACTCTTTTGGGAGCAGTGGCTGCTGCTGCATCCCTTCTCAGACGGCCCATGTCTCGTGCAGATCTGGTAGCCATGTCCTCCTCTGAGGATGAAGGCAGTCTGCGCTTTATTTATGAGCTGCTGGGATGGGTAGAAGAAACGCAAGATCTGCTGGAGCGAGCTGAGTGGGGTTCTGATCTGCCGTCTGTAGAACAGCATTTGCAGGACCACCATATCATTCACACTGCGGTGGAGGATCTTTTGAATAGCCTCAAAGAGGCTCGAACATATGAGGTAAATTAATTGTTGAATGAAGTCTTTGTATCAAAGGGCCTTTCACACCAATTCTGATGTAGTGCGAGATTCAGGAGATGTGCACACAGAAGTACAACATTGTTGATTTACATTTGAACAGCTCATGATGCATTTATATATTAGTGTCTTGAAATGGATTGGGTTGCAATAAATTCTGCTCCATTCAACATGATGTCAAACATATATAAAAGAACATTGTTTGTAAAGAAATCTATAGTTCCCCTATGAATAATTATTTATAGCCAAGTTAATTTAAATATTAGTTGTTGATCACTGTTGTAAAATAAAATTATCATTATTATTATTATTATTATTATTATAATTCATTCATTTTCTTGTCGGCCTAGTCCCTTTATTAATCCAGGGTCGCCACAGTGGAATGAACCGCCAACTTATCCAGCAAGTTTTTACGCAGCGGATGCCCTTTCAGCCCATCTCTGGGAAAATTATTATTGTTATTATTATTATTATTATTATTATTATTATCATCTGTAGTAGTACAGATAGTTTTTATTTTACAGTACAATAGCAAACGTGTTAGAGTGTGCTGCCTGACAAATTCTTGTCGTCAATCCCAGTTGTAAGAGCAACAAATAATAATTTGACCTCTAGTTGATCATTTGGAAAAGTGGCAGAAGATTGTCAGGCCCAATCATCACAACTACTGCAGAAGACCTGTTGGAACCAGCATGAACCCAAGATTCTCACAGAAATCTGTCAAGTTTGGTGAAGGAAAGATGATAGTTTGGAGTTACATTCAGTATGGGGGCGTGCAGCAGATCTGCAGCCTGATGTATCAAGACATCTCTGCTGCCCATTACATTACAAACCATAGGAGAGAGCAAATTCTTCAGCAGGATAGTGCTCCTCATACTTCAGCCTCCACATTAAAGTTCCTGAAAGCAAAGAAACTCAAGGTGCTCCAGCATTGGCCAGCCCAGTCACCAGTTATGAACATTATTGAGCAAGTCTGGGGTAAGATGAAGGAGCAGGTACTGAAGATGGATCCAAAGAATCTTGATGAACTCTGGGACGCTTTCTTTGTGATTCCAGATGACTTTATTATGAAGTTATTAGAGTCATTGCAGAGATGCAGTTGTCCAAGCTCATGGGAGTCACACACAATATTAATTCTTTTCCCACTGCAGCATGACTTTATATACTATACTGTACATTATTTCTGTTGATTTAACTTTGATTTGACTTAAGATAATAAATGATCAACTAGAGGTCAAGTTATTATTTTGTCAGGTAGTGTATTTATTTATCTTATAAATTAAAAAAATAAATGTAAATAATTGAATTAAAAATAAATAGTAAAATGATAATATAATTCTGTATTTCACTACTATTAACGTTATTAATACTGTTTGTTTTATTATACTGCGTTCATTACACTGTGGCATAATAATAACTTTTATCAAGACTGATTTTGCATGCTATATTGTTCAACAGTAAGGCCAGCATTTTATTTGTGCTTATACATTTTTAGCTGTAGAAACTTTGTGTTTAAAATAAATGTATGCCTTGTACATCCTCAGTTGCACATACAAACAAAATAGTCGGTCTCTCTGTGGTCAGTTAAACTGTCTCCAAACTCAGTCCTGGAGGGCTGGTGTCCTGGAGAGTTTAGCTCCAACCCTTATCAAACACACATGACCCAGCTAATCAAGCTCTTTCTAGGTATACTAGACTTCCAGACAGGTTTGTTGGAGGAAGTTGGAGCTAAACTATGCAGGACACCGGCCCTCCAGGACTGAGTCTGGTTTCAGAGCAAGTGTGTGGTTTGAGAGCATGAAAGCTTCTGATTTTTGGTGAATCCATAGAAAATCACTGTTTATTTTAAAACTTGCCACTTGTGCAATCAACCTAGCATTTCACAACTGGTGTGAAAGTGGCTTGCAAGATCTAATGTAATACACACTGCACACTTTTGCAGAATCATTAACACATTTCTTCATATTTTCTCTCCCCCAGTCAAGGGTCTCACCCAATTTACGTAGCAGTTACTCTGAAACTCTGTCCAAGTTGGAGAACCAGTATTGCAAACTGCTGGTGAGTTCATTTATTTATTATTTTTGCTTTATCTTTATGCTAAGCAGGCATATGTGCATGCATTTAAGTTCATTATACTCTGCATTATGCATATTACTCTCCTCTAATCTCATCAGGGTGTGACGGAGTGTGTCCTTACAAAAGCAGATCCAGAAAGCTTGTGTGTGACATACATAAGAGCATAACATCTGCTCTTGACATATCCAACACCCACTCATGTCTCCATAATTTAAGCAAATCAGTCGTCAATAAAAGCATGCAATTGTTCAAAAGACTTATGAGGGCAGATCTTCAAGGGTGCTCACTGCGGGGAAAGCTCCAGATTGAGCAGTCGCCCGCGTCATATGGCCGGTGTTATAAATGCGGTTTTGTGTTGTCGCAGGAACATTCGTCATGGCGACTGCGTTGCCTGGAGAGCCTTCGAGCTTTTGTGTCCCACTGCACCGAGGAGCTGATCTGGCTCAATGAGAGGGAGGAGGAGGAGCTGGCCTTCGACTGGAGCGACAGCAACACCAACATGGCTGCCAAAAGAGAGCAATATGCTGTAAGACTTCATCTATAGAACCATAGTCATCAGTAGTCATCGTACTACATCTGGCAGATAACGTTCCTTACAGATTAAATGCCCATTTAAACCAACAATGCTAGAACAATCCTCACCAGTGCACCGTTAACACTTTATTTAAAACGCTCCTTGTTTTCAGCTTCTTCTTTGAATGCTTGAGCTCTTTAAAGCAGGATGAAGTCTAGTAGTAGTAGTAGTAGTTGTTGTTGTAGTTGAAGAAATAGTAGTTCTAGTAGTTGGAATAGTAGTAGTAGTTATTGTTGTTGTTGAAGTTGTAGTTGTAGTAGTAGTAGTAGTTGTGGTAGTAGTTGTTGTAGTATAAGTAGTAATTGTAGTAGTTGTAGAAATTGTAGTTGAAGTAGTAGTTGTTGTAGTAGTAGTTGTAGTTGAAGTAGTAGTTGTAGTAGTAGTTGCAGTATTGTTGTAGTAGTAGTAATTGTAGTTCTAGTAGTTGTTGTTGCTGAAGTTGTAGTAGTTGTTGTAGTATAAGTAGTAATTAATTGTAGTAGTAGTTGTAGTAATTGTTGTAGTTGAAGTAGTAGTAGTTGTAGTAGTTGTTGTAGTAATTGTACTAATACTAGTTGTAGTTGTGGTAGTAGTAGCTGTAGTTGTTGTTGTAGTAATTGTAGTAATAGTCGTAGTTGTTGTTGTAGTAGTAGTAGTAATAGTAGTTCTAGTAGTTGTTGTTGTAGTAGTAGTTGCAGTATTAGTTGTTGTAGTAGTAGTAATTGTAGTTCTAGTAGTTGTTGTTGTTGCTGAAGTTGTAGTAGTTGTTGTAGTATTAGTAGTAATTAATTGTAGTAGCAGTTGTTGTTGTAGTAATTGTTGTAGTTGAAGTAGCTGTAGTAGTAGGAGTTGTAGTAGTTGTTGTTGTAGTAATTGTACTAATAGTAGTTGAAGTAGTTGTTGTTGTAGTAATTATAGTAATAGTCGTAGTTGTAGTAGTGGAAGTTGTAGTAGTAGTAGTTGTAGATGAAGTAGTTGTTGTAGTAGTTGTAGCTGAAGTAGTTGTAGTAGTAGTTGCAGTATTAGTTGTAGTAGTAGTAGTAAAAGTAGTAATAGTAGTTCTAGTAGTAGTTGTTGTTGTTGTTGTTGAAGTTGTAGTTGTGGTGGTAGTAGTTGTTTTAGTATTAGTAGTAATTGTAGTAGTTATTGTAGTATTAGTTGTAGTAATTGTAGTAGTAGTAGTTGTAGTAGTAGTTGTAGTTGTTGTGGTTGTAGTAGTAGTTGTAGCATTATTAATAATTGTAGTAGTTGTTAGTAGTTGTATTAGTTAGTAGTTATAGTAGTAGTTATTGTTGTTAGTAGCTGTAGTAGTCGTAGTTGTAGTAGTTTTTAGTAGTAGTTGTTGTAGTAGTAGTTGTTAGTAGTTGCAGTATTAGTAGTTGTTGTAGTAATAGTTGTAGTAGTAGTAGTTGTTGTTGTAGTAGTTGTAGTAGTTGTAGTCTTGGTCGTTGTAGTAGTAGTTGTTAGTAGTTGTAGTCTTAGTCGTTGTAGTAGTAGTAGTAGTAGTAGTTGTTGTAGTTTGAATACTTGAGCTCTTTAAAGCAGGATGGAGTCTGATTGTTTGTCGTCAACTGATACAGTTTCTCTGTGTTGTTGTTATAGCTGTGGTGTGGATTTATTGTCCACTTTGTTGATGTACAGTAAGAGACAATGATCATTTCTTTTGCCTTTGCCATGATGACAGTAGGTTAACTAGGCATCTTAGTGATTAGGAGAGGGTTGATTAGGAGAGTAATTGAACAACAGTAGTTTGTTCTGTTTCTTTGACACAAAAAGGCAACCCTGTTAAACATCACTTGGTAAATATCTGGAAAGAAGAGGAAAAAGAAAAATCACAGGAGGGCTAATACTGTATATTTATCTTCAACTGCACATGGAATTGAAAAACAAGGAATTGTTATTATGTGGGCATTGGATGAAGTAGCAAACTACACAGTTCTGGATGATTCAGGAGTGCGTCATTTTTACTGATGGATCAAGTTGACATTTTCTTGACAAATTTTTTAGTTTAAAAATATACATATTTCTAAACAAATCAAACGTGAATGGTGGAATCTTTCATTATAAGATCAACAACTTATATTTACTAAATCACTTTGGTCAATTTTCATTTCATGCCAAATTATTTGCATTTGTTTACTGCAATGTTTTGAACTAAATGTTCTCCTCATTCTCTTTCAGGACATGAGGTCTGAACTGGAGGAAAAGCAGGATGTGATGCGCTCTCTCCAGGACACAGCTGACCACCTGTGTCTAGAGAACCACCCAGCCAAACAAACAGTCGAGGTGAGCTGTTAGCCAATATGGAAAAAAAACATTTCTTAGTAGGGCTTTAAACAATTGACAAAAAATTATATTATTGTTATTATTATTATTATTATTATTATTTTAATAATAATTTTGCGATCATGCTTCTACCCTGATATAGGTAACTGCACAACTACTAATTAAAGAAATAGTTCGCCCAAAAATGAAAATCCTGTCATCGTTTACTCACCCCTTGACTTGTTTTAAACCAGTTTGAGTTTTTTTAGGTTTTTTTTTGTTCTCTTTAACTCAAAGGAAGGTATTTTGAAAAATGATGGAAACCATAGTATTAGTTTTTCCTTCTATTGAAGTAAGTGGTTATAGGATTCTACAGGATATCTTCTTTTGTGTTCAACATAAGAAGAAAAAATGTAAACTGGTCTGACGCACATCAAGGATGAGTAAATATTAGTGGAATTTTCAGTTTTGGGTGAATTTAATATAACAAAAATCTATATGAGTATTTATTTTTTTATAATGTAAAGGGTCTGTCTAACCTAATTCATTTCATTTAGCAGTGAATGCTTTTGGATTCTCAATGGTATTATAAGTTACTATTTTGTGATTTTGACAAAAGAAATTGTTGTCATAATTGGTTAATATTGCTGCTGCACAATATATTGTTTAAGTATAGATATGGCAATGTGTGTATCCGCAATAGTCACATCACAGGATTAGATTATTTATTAAAGATGAAAAGTTAAAGACATTATTAGATATTATTATTTTAAATAATTTGTACAATGATGACCATGTTATATTTATGTTTGATTGTTCAATTTCTGTTCAATTCTAAAACCCTAAAGCACTGTTCATTTAACTTGTCTGTTGTATTTATATATGCTTGCAATTATAATTTATGCTAATGCACTGTATAGAAAAAGACTTGATCATTCCATTTTACCTAAATCAGGGGTGTCCAAACTTGGTCCTGGAGGGCCGGTGTCCTGCATATTTTAGTTCCAACCCCAATTAAACACACCTGAAATAGCTAATCTAACTCATTCTAGGTATACTAGAAACTTCCAAGCAGGTGTGTTGAAGGAAGTTGGAGCTAAACTATATAGGACACCGGCCCTCCAGGACCGAGTTTGGACACCCCTGACCTAAATGAACAAAATGTTTTCAAACAGAGCTATTTAATTCATCTGGTGAAATTATTTTCACATCGCAATATATATATCAGAAATACAAAATATTGCAATGTCAGATTTTTCCAATATCATGCAGCCAACGTAAATATCGTAGACTCCTATCACTCATTGACCTTATTCATGGTCAGTCCTGACCTGTTGACCTCTCTGCTCTCAGGCCTACAGTGCTGCCCTGCAGACGCAGTGGCAGTGGATTAAAGAGCTCTGCGTATGTGTGGAGCAGCACCTCAAGGACAACACTGCCTACTTCCAGGTACTTATTTAAACCTTTTTGAATTGTTTATTATTTTTACTTTTATTGATTATGGGTTTACTTTTATTGATTATCGATTTTCCTTTTATTTGATTATGGGTTTTAATGGCATGTTTTTGTTTTACAGTTTATGAGTGATTCAAGGGACTGTGAAAGCTATCTACGACAGCTACAAGACACCATTAAGAGACAATATACCTGCGATAAAAACAGCAGACTTGGCAGATTAGAGGACTTGCTGCAGGACTCCATGGTAAGGATTTCTCCTTATTCAAAAAATGACTATACTATCAAACTCAAGTGGTTCTATTAGTTTCTTTCTTCTTTTCACAAGGAGGAGATATTTTGAAAAAAGCTGAGAATCTGTAACTGTAGTAGACATGAAATAGTTAATTTTGTGTCAGGTTATCGTGGTGGAGGGTCACAGGGTTAGGTAGAGGGTTTATATTGGTCACCTGATCATTCACACAGATAGGGGGGGGGGAGGGGGGGGGGTGGGTGAACGGGGACGCAATATTCTTTGTTGACCAAAATATCAAGAAGTTACGTTTTCATTGGGAAAATAAGCAATAAGGCATTGGAAGAACTTTTTGCCTTGTTTATATTTTGTCACGAAACATGTCTCTTGTGAGTTGGTTTAGTTTCTCTGCTTTTACTCCACGTAGCCACTACAGTAACCATTACCTTCCATAGTAGGAAAACATAGAAATTATGGAAGTCAATTGTTACAGGTTTCCAACATTTTTCAAAACATCTTCCTTTGTATTTAACAGGAAAAAAAATGCAGGACTTCCATAGTAGGAAATACCATAGTTTGGAGCACCACTAGTGCACAGGAGGTGGTGAACGTCCTCATACAGTATACTGTATGACAGATGGCACTGTGAGAGAGGGCTTGCACAAGAGCAGGCAGAGGGATGTCCACGTCCTCTCTGGCCATACGGATGAGAGACCCAGAGCTGGGACATTAGCACAGTTTAATTACAGTTCAATAAAGGGGCATGAATGCAGCTAAAATAGACCGTCTGGGATGGATCATAATAATAATAATAAAATCATTCATTCATTTTCTTGTCGGCTTAGTCCCTTTATAAATCTGGGGTCACCACAGCTGAATGAACCGCCAACTTATCCAGCACATGTTTTACGCAGCAGATGCCCTTTCAACCGCAACCCATCTCTGGGATAACATCCATACACACTCATACACTACAGACTATTTAGCCTATCCAATTCACCTGTATCGCATGCCTTTGGACTGTGGGGGAAACCGGAGCTTGTGAACGCGAGGAGAACATAATGACAAAATTAGTAATTCATAAAGTAAAGTCTTTGTTAGCTAAAAGTATTTTCTGGAAAATAAATCATATTTGAGAGAAAGAAAGAGATGTCACATATTAGTTACATTTTATAATTTCATGCAGGGATAGTTTGAAATAAGCATGTATAATGTTGTATAATATTAATAAAACATTATAGACATGCATTTTTCTTCCTCTTAACCTACAGCAAATCATTTAGCACTTTTAACAAAAAAGAAGATTAAATAATAAGAATTGTACATGTAAAAGGAATAAACCTAATATTTGAATTCCCTGTAAACAAATGAAGTGAATGTGAATGTAGAAGATGTGCAATTAAGATGCTCTTGAGTCTCTCATTTGGCTCAAATCCAAATATGTGTGCATATTATGATAATTTGACATTCATTTTATCCTCGTTGTTTTGCAACAAACCTCTGTGGTTTCGATGAACTCTAACCCCATGCTGATATGCAGTCAAATGTTAACTTCTTATAGGTAGCGTAATTTAGTTAGCTCTTTCTGTCTGCTTCTTCTTCCTAACCAATGAATCCCACATTGCACATACCTCAAATGCATTCATTCATTTCTGTGAAACAAATGCTGAGAAAATAATAACAAACACTCACCGGCCACTTTATTAGGTACAAATTGCTCATTAACACAAATTTCCTTTCAACCAATTACACGGCAGCAACTCAATGCATTTCAGCATGTATACATGGTCAAGATGATCTGCTGTAATTCAAACCAAGCATCAGAATGTGGAAGAAAGGTGATTTAAGTTACTTTGAACATGGCATAGTTGTTGGTGCTAGACAGGCTGGTCTGAGTATTTCAGAAATTCCTGATCTACCGGTATTTTCACGCAAAACCATCTCTAGGGTTTACGGAGAATAGTCTGAAAAAGAGAAAGCTGAAAAGCAACAGTAACTCGCATAACCACTCGTTACAGAAGAGTTTCAGCGATGACACTTTTCTGAAGCTATTTTGAAACTATTTCATCTGTTTTAAAGAGAGTGAATATTTTTTATCACGAAACACACATTCTAGTTACTGCCTTTTTTTGAATGTGCACCATTCACGAAATCCAAAAATAATCAAATCCAATGATAAGGTTTTTGAAGAACATGTATTTGATCATATGAACATACATTGAATATAGTAATTAGCACTGTTAGCAACATAATTATGTCACAGTTCACTGGTTACTCCTGTTAACTGTATGAACGTTTGATTTGACTTTGTTTTATTTTGTTTTTCAGGAGGAGAAAGAACAATTGATTGAATACCGCAGCACAGTGGCCAGTCTTGTAGGTCGGGCCAAATCTGTAGTCCAGCTCCGGCCACGCAGTGCAGACAGTAACCTGGGCACCACCACACCCATTCGTGCCATCTGTGACTATCGACAAATAGAGGTATAACACACTACAGACATCTCACTGTTAGCAGGGTGTCCGCGGGGTCCTAAAATGTCTTACATTTCTAAAATGAAATTTTAGGCATTAAAAAGTCTTAAATTCACTAAAATATTGTGTTGTAGTTCTTAAATTATTTTAAAAAGGTCTTAATTTTCCTCTATCCAACAATCGAGCCAACACGCATCCAATTATCAACAGTCCATCTAAATAAAACTTATTTTTATTGCAAAGAGAATCAATCACAACATTAGTAAGACATTTTTACGGAAAATTCTCTTAATTAAATAAGGTAAAGAAAACGATATAATTAATTACATAATTCCTCATGACAATAACAGGGCAATATATGCCTTTATGTGATCTTCCATTTATACAAAAACTATTTACAGAAGTAAGGAAGAGTGGACATAATATTTATGAATAGACATGAAACTTAAGGTCTTGTAACAGAAATGCATTCGGTTGAAAGAAATAACTACATTTTTATTTTATTGTTTTTTGTGGCAAGCAAAAAACAAATTCTATTGGCCCATTGCAAAACATCCAAAGTGTTTAGCTTTAAGTCTGAAATTTCTTTCATGATGGTCTTAAAAGGGCCTTTAAAATTCTTAAATTTGACTCGATGAAACCTGCAGAAACACTTATTAGAAACATCTTGCTTTGCCTTACCTTGCCACATCACAAACCTGCACTGGTCTTTATGCTCTTAAAACTGAGCTAAGATCATATGGGTAACATAAAGGTGAAAAAACAAACATATATTTTATTATTAACAACAGTATACAAACTAGATATACTGCCCACGTCTTGCATTCAATAATATACTGACGCAACTCTGTATATAATAAGCAATTAAAACAATAATGGTAGCCTATGGATAAAAGGTCGAGCAGGTAGTTAGGATGCCTGTTAAAGTGTTTATGTAGATTTAAAAAAAATCTTTATGTAGTCCAGACCTACCTTATCTGTGAACCACCTGTTACAGTAGCTTTCGTCAGCGGCTTGTCTCAGAGCAATAGCCAGAAATCATCTGAACGTATTTAGTTCCTAAACTGCTCTGGGTCTTTGAAGGTACTGTAAATATATTGGGAAATGTTGCATTTAAACGAGTATTATCAGGAACATTTGGTCTATGTTAGTGTAAGGCTTTTGAAATGGAAATCAAAATCATTTGGTGAGTTTTTAACCAGCTTTGAGTGGCCATTTCTGTTACAACTAAATTAAGGACAATTTGCTAAATTTATTTCAGGATAAAACATGAAAACCAACTTATCTTTTGTCTTAAGCTGATGATTTTTTATGAGTAGATTCCAATCTTATTAACGTTATTTCTTACATTATTAAATGTAATCAGTAAATGTAGATAAAATAATAAGACTAAATACTAATCAAATTAATATCAACAAAATGTTGAAGTGGATGTATTTACACAGTGTATTTGATGCATCTCAACAGTTTATTCGATGCATCTCATGAATACTTATAGATTGCGGTAACAATTAAATTAATGAGATAAGTGTTTTCAATATAAATGGAATACATAACTCTAAGATATGTTAAATCTTAATCTAAAATCACCAATAGATGGCGATAAAGTCATTGTATTCATGAATTGTTCATTCAATTGATTCATTCAGAAACGCTGAACCATTCAGTTACAAACCTCCAGTACATTCAATATAGAACTGTTATATTCATTTTATAAATATAAAACTAAAACCTGTTCAGTTCATCAAGATCAGACGAACTGATAATGAAGCTGAAGATTAATTCATTCTAATGACAGATGCTGTTTTTAGGTTATTACTATATACAATGAATTGCCAATACATTTTTCAGTGCTATTAAATAAATAAAAAATAAATAAAAATGTAACGACTTCACTGCTGTGCTGTTTTTGATACATAGCCTTAATCAAATACCTTTTAACTGCTGTTTTGTCAGCACTGTCATATTTTGTGCCTTTATTATGTTATTTGGAGGAAAATGTGCAAATTTATGAATTCATCCAAACACCGCTGACAGACGTGACGAACAGACCCTGCTGTATCATATCTAATCTGCCATTTTGGAGACATTTTGCTTTTTGTTCACACATCTCGCATATTCCTCTGGATTGAAATGATGAAATGAGATGCTGCCATTGATTTGAATATTCATTTTTGTTTAGAAAACTCATGAACACTCAGTCACACTCCCAGCTGTGGTCCCGTTTTTCTTTTCCTGATCATATTATCTCAGTCAGACCAGGTCTGCTAAACACCCAAAAGTAATCTCTTTTTCCCTTCCCTATCCCTGTCCCACTCCCCCATTTTCTCTGCCCTCCCCCTTTTCCTTTATCCCTCCATTTAACCCCGTCTTTCTCTCTCTGTTCCCCTCCGTCTCCCCTCCTCTTTATGTGTGTCTGCGGGGCTGGGCAAGGCCAACTCTCAGGTACTATTGCCGACCGTTCTCCTCCTCTGACCTTTGCTCTCTGGCCTGGCCCTGCACACAAGGGACCCCTGCTTTACCTCAGGCGTCCTGTACACTTTTAATGTGAAAAAGCTCAAATATAACATGTATTAGGTGTTTTTATCCCAGCCCAATACATCAGATTCTATAGTGGGAGCATGTTGCATGTTGACTTGCTGTATCATTTTTATTTTATCGCCTCAGTCAGTCACAAACAAGTGGTAATCGAGTTATTTTAAATTTTCCTCTTAGTAGCATTATGTAACAAGGATAATGTGCTCTGTGTGCAAGGGATAGGGTGAGAGTTGAGGTAGGGCACTTGAAAGTGCTCTCATATCTTCTCTTTGATTTCTAATGTGCTTAAATCACTCAGAATGCTAATTTGATGTTGCTTTAAAAGGATAGCTCACCCAAAAATGGAAATGTACTTGCTATTTACTCATCTTTAAATGGTTATAAATCTTCATTATTTTATTACTTGTACTGAACGCAAAAGAAGTATTTGAACTATTGTAATGATCTAAGCGCAAAGTCTGAAGCGCATGGTGCAAAAGCATTAACTACATGTCCGAATCCACTTTTGCTATTTTAAGGATGGAAAAATACACTCTGCACCGTGGCGCATGGTCTAACAAGGTTGTGCTTATTCTCTTAATGAGTTATGGGTAGGCCCAGACAGAATCTGTGGACATTTTTTGCTATTTCTGCCAAGAATTTTGTAAAAAAATCCACGGATTTATGTGGAATAATTTTGGGAGTATCATAACTTAAACTTTATATATGAAATAAAAACTTTTATTTAATGTTTACAATGCAAATCCAATTAGATCCACTAATTTGATAAACAAAGCAAGGCTCTTATATAAAATATGTGCTAAAAGACAGAAAATATGACTTTACAAACTGTATTGTAAATAAATCAAATGAACACCTTTCATATTAGTCAATAATATTACGGAATTAGTATTAGTCGAGAATAATTTAAAACTGAATAAATATAAATGTACACACATTTACACAAGTAAATAAATAGACTCAAAGATGGACTAAAAATCTGCGGATTTCAGTGCCCCCAGATTCCGTGTGGGCCTAGGTAGGGATGTGTTTTGAGCATAACGTGCAGTAAACTAATCAGAGTCTAATCTTACATTCTCTTTAAGAGTCAAATGCATCACGCCATGGTGCATTTGCTTTGTACATGGCGGACTTTGTAAAAGGAAAAACTGAACGCTTTACTAGCGAGAAAACAGTTAAACAGAACATCTGCAGTTCAAGAATAAAGAATGTGCCTCCTCCATTTGGCCTCTTTACTTTCTCTTTACTTTTACTCTTTACTTTACTCCTTTACTTTCGCCAATAAGGAAACTGTGTTGTACGCTCTCTGCTAAAGACATCCATTAACCTACATATTTAATTTTGTTTAAGTGCAAAGACTTGTTTCAAAACTATTTCTAAATTCAGTTCTAATTTCCAGCTAATGAATAAATGAACAATAATACCGAAGTGTGGTCAAAAAAAACGGTTATATCCAAACACACGTCCTATTCTTATGCCCCATATGGTGATGCAAACGTCTCCAGAACCCAACAGGTGGGCAAATCTAAGCTTGTTTTAATTAAAACAAATATAAATATGCATATAGTAAATAATACTGCTAGTAATAATAATATAACTTTATACAAATGCAAATTGTCATGAATAAACTGAATGGAGGCTGTGGTTTTTATATTTATGTAGAAAAGAATAATTTTGTAACATTTTAATCCTTTAATTTTTTTCATATGTAAAGATATTAACACACCTCATTTTTAGACCGGCACACCCAATAGTCCACAAAGTGACACAAATGGATTTGCTATTTAAAGAACGTGGTGCAAAACAAACCTGGTCACAGATTTCCTTAAAATATCTTCTTTTGTGTTTAACAGAAGAACGCAGCTCAAACAGGTTTGAGATTAGTAAAGAGAGAGTACTGTAAATGATGACAATGTTCATTTTTGGGTGCACTATCCTTTAAGAGGGTTATTTAAAAAAAAGCTAGGCTTAAAAGCCAACTGTAATTTGACATTGTAATGGGCAAGATGAGTGCTTTTGAATTTATTTTATTTATTTAGCCTTTTTTTTTTTTTGCAAGGTCAGTGCAGTAAGGCATTATTCCATAAAAATTCATATTTCACCTAGTTCAACTCACATAAAAGCCATTAGCATTAACATTTGATTCCTCATCCTTTGGTTAATACTTTGAATTCCTTTACTTTTTAATCAACATCTACCATCAGTTTTTTGCACTGTTTTTTTTTAAAGTCCACTCCTCCTTACATGCTGTTTTTCTTCCATCCCCATTTCCTTCTGTTTCCGTCTCCATCTCTCTCTCTTTCTCAGATCACCATCAGCAAAGGCGAGGAGTGTGTCCTGGAGGATAACTCTCAGAGGACCAAGTGGAAGGTCATCAGTCCTACTGGAAATGAGGCCATGGTGCCATCTGTGTGTTTCACCGTTCCTCCCCCTAATCAGGAAGCCATCGACACTGCCAGCAGGTACAGCTCGCAGATCCTTAACACCAGAACCAACACAGAGGGGAAATTACACTTACTTTGCTCTTTTTCAAATATGGCTGCACAATGTATCATTTCAGCATCGATATTGTAATGTGTGTATCTGCAATAGTCACATCGCAAAATATGCAAGTCTGAAGTATAGTTGATTAGGATCTACAGAACACATGTGGTTTGTAGAGTCACTGCCATGTTTAACCATAATAAGGTTTATCATTTGCATGTGTTGGTAAGGCCTGTGACTGAGCATTTCAAGAGAGTTTAAAACATTTGGGCACAAAAAATTATGATGCTTGGAGGTGTAACAAAGATTTTTTTTTATGTATACAGATTTGACATGATTTATGCCAATGATTTTTGCAAAAATTATATTATTTTTTTTCTTAATTAGAATCTTTGTCTTGTTTCTTCTCCAAATATCTACATTTTAAAGCGAAAACAAGATTATTTTATTTCCCACATTGGCAAAAAATGTTGCTTGTTATAAGGAAATACTATTAATTTTGACTGTTTTTGATTATTTTTTTTACTTGACCTAAGAAGTTTTAGATATTCGGACTACAAACAAGACAAAGCAAATGAAGAAAAGCATTTTTTGCATTGTTATTATTTAATATTTGTACCTGAATATTGTTAGACTCCCCAGAAAACTGCCAAATAGAGCTGTTCAAACCTTCTCCTGAATCTGTAGCAGATTTTTCTAACATTGTGCAGCTCTGTTTTTTAAATGTACGTAACAAATTTGGGTCCCCCAGTGAGTAATGTTTACTAAAATATTGCAGTTTATTGTCCCTTGTTGTTAAAAATGGTTTCGATAAAATCATTAAAAAGGCTCATTTTAATTTCATACTGTCATTTTCACACTGCTTATGTTTTAGCATTCTGTTACACTCTGAGATCACAGTGATCTATTTTAGTCACAAAGGATAAAATGAGACTGTTATTAGAGACTCCAAATGCCAGTGATGGTGAGAATGATGGTGGATTTGTTTCAGGGGTTAAAGATAAGCTAAAAACAATGATTTCACGGCTCTAGAGATTAAGACACGTTCATAATACTGTAAAAACGTTGTAACGTGTTATGTAAGATATGTAAAATGGTCGTCTTAATAAGTAAATTACAGCAGCTGGTAGTTTTAGTAGTGGATCTTTTTGGAAGTCTTCTGTAATGTGACATTTTAGAGCAAAACAATATATGGCATGGAAACAATTAGCATGTTATAAATGTATTTTCTAGATTGTGAAATGCATTATGAAACCTGTATTTGGCATATTAAGGTCAAAAGGTAATTTATTCTCGATTTTACAATTACAAAATACTGGGTAACACTTTACAATAAGGTTCATTAGTTAATGCATTTACTAACATGAACTAATCATGAACAACACATGTATCATTTATTAATCATAATTGAACATTTACTAATGCATTATTGACATCCAAGTCCATGCTTGTTAACATTAGTTAATGCACCATGAGTTAACATGAACTAACAATGAACAACTGTATTTTCATTAACTAATGTTAACTAACATGAACAAATACAGTAGTAGATGTATTGTTCATTATTTGTTCATGTTAGTAAATGCATTAATTAACATTAACTAATGAACCTTATTGTAAAGTGTGACCAAATACGGTATAATAAGCATGTCATTTTGTAAGAAAAAATCTACTTTTTATCCTACCGGTGAGTTTTTTATTGTTTATGCCAGGAGAATAAAAAAAATGACATTCCAGAATGTATTTTCTAGACTTGAAATGCATTATGAAACGCATATTTGGAATATTAAGGGAAAAATGTAATAGATTCTCAATTTTACAGTTATAAAATATATATAGCATATAATTTTGTGATAACAAATATATTTTTACCATACAGGTGAGTATTAAATTATTATTATTTTAAAAGTTTATGCTAAGTGAATAAAAAAAATGACATTGCAGAATGTATTTTCTAGACGTGAAGATGTGACGTACATTATAAAACATATATTTGGTATATTAAGGGAAAGAAACCAATTTATTCTCAATTTTACATTTACAAAATATAATTAGCATTTAATTTTTGGTGGTTGATCAGATGTGCTCCAACATTAGTCGCTTTAACATCAAGACTTAAAAACATCTGTTTAGCTGTGCCTATACTCAGTGAATACTGTGCTACGTCTAACAGATACAGTACTATTATTTCTTTCTTTTTTTTTCACTCTTTTACAACCTGTTTTAACACATTTTAATCTGCTTTTATTTGTTTTAATAATTTTTTATTCTTTTTTGTTTTTATTTCTTGCTATACTCTTTTATTCTTGGTTATGTAAAGCACTTTGAATTACCATTGTGTATGAAAATGTGCTATATAAATAAACTTGCCTTGTCTTGCTACTGCAGATGAATAAAATGAACGCTCTCTAAACATCCTTGCAATGATAGGAGCTGATTAAACCCCCCTTTTTTGAGAAAAGATAATCACATATATTTTTCTGTATGCTTAGAATGGAGCAGATGTACCAGAACGTGATGTCTCTGTGGCACCAGCTGCATTTGAACATGAAGAGCGTTGTGTCCTGGCACTATCTGCAGAAGGACATAAGAAACATCTCCTCCTGGAGCCTGGACACAGTCAGTGTCACACAATGCAATCATTTCCCATACAGTACGCTGGACACTGAATGTTTTTTATAATTACGTCTATGTCTTTTAGATGCGATTGCAGCCCCCAGCGGAGAGACAGCAGGCTTTAGACAACCTGGATGCTCACTTGACTGACTTTCTTTCGGACAGTCATGAGAGCTCACTTTTTACGCCAACAGAGCGTCGTGAGCTGGAGAGAGAAGCTGAGAACTGCCGTGAACATTGCCAAACACTGCTGGTGTCTCTGGAGACAGGTATGAAGGTTACTGTGTGCTTTAATTAAATATTATGAAACGGTAAGGTGTCATCCATATGCAGGGCCGGATTAAGAACATATTGGGCCCTGGGACCATAGCAGACTGTTATTTTATTGCCTCACAAAAGTAGCTTTTTTTTGTGCAATTATTATTATAATTATTAATAATTATCTTAATTTACTATTTTATATTATTATATAATCTAATTTTCCACTTGATTTATATTTGATTATGTTGTAATTATATTCTAATTGACTAAAGTAGGCGTACAAGCATACAAAATTAATTTTAACTTTTAAAAACGTTAAAAGGCTGCCAAAATTAGGGGAAAAAAAACAAATAACACATTTGCAAAACTTCCTAAATGAGGGCTTTACAATAAATGTTTAAATAGGCTTATCTTAAAAAAATTTCCTTTAAACTTTTGCTGAGCAGAAATCCCTAAAATATCTTTAAAATCCATGCTTCTAATGTCCCCATTTGGTCTCGAGTCAGTCAATTACAGAAGGTTAGCATGTTTTGTTTTTTTCTCAGATATACTGTCTGATGAAAGCCAGCGCCAATATTTCATTGCTCCGCATTATTACTGTCGTTTTTATAAAAGGGGAAAGTCACTTAAAAGTTTTCTTACTAACTGCTTCAGTTAGACTTAAACCATGTATTTTCTTGAGGTATTTGATTTGGTCGTACACTGTCTCTGTTATGAGAAGGCAGGATTGCACGGATGTGCCATGATGGCCGACACAGCGCTTCAGTTTGGAGTCAATTCTGCATGATTCCCCTAACACTGCACGTTAATAACACTACTTGAATACTATTTGAATTTTGTTTTGTTTTTTATGATGCACTTGGTTAGCCTACCTGTGACTGGGAAAAACAGGACATCTATTCACCCTTACTGGGTACTAAATAGGGCTCTTTAAAACTCTTATTGAGCTACAGCCACTCTAAGCCATAGTTTAGCAATGTCACTGTTTTTGAACAGCAGCGATCCAAAAGGAATACTTCACTTTATTGAAAGCTTAATGCAAAGAGGCGTTTTCAGTGTGATGATGCAAATGAATTCATCAGCCAATCAAGGGCCTCCTCCTCTCACCGGCTCTTGGGCTTCAGCCCCGCCTAGTCCTTATGTTAATCCAGCCCTGCCAATATGGTTAAACATTTTTTTTACATATTTTAAAACATACAAAAAAAGATGTTTTTATATGTTTTTGAAAATATTTTAGACTAAATATTTAAATGCACTCAGAATATATATTTGCTTAATTATTTTAAATAAAATACATTAATGTAGCATTTGAGGAAAATCTTTGCTTGATGTCTAAAACTTCTAAAACAAAGAAAATTCTTGACAAAAAAACTCTTTTCAAGTGCCACTGTAACAAAAATTACAGCTGTTTTTGTAAACATAAATATATAAAAATATTAAGTATACATATTTTTATAATTATATTTTTAAACAGATATATTTCTATTACTCTAAAGTATTTTACAGTTTAATTCCTCTAAATATAAATATATAATTTAATATTATTTTAATAATAATAATAAATACTTTAGATCTCCATCCACATTCTGTTATAAGGATTGAAATGACCCTTCATACAATGTGAAATATATATGAAATATATATTAAATGAAGGTCAGGGCAGCACGGTGGCTCAATGGTTAGCACTGTTGCCACACAGCAAGAAGGTTGCTGGTTTGAGTCCATGCTGGGTCAGTTGGCATTTCTGTGTGGAGTTTGCATGTTATTCGCCGTGTTGGCGTGGGTTTCCTCCAGGTGCTCCAGTTTCCCCCACAGTCCAAAGAGATGCGCTATTGGTGAATTGAATGAACTAAATTGGCACTAGTGTATGAGCATGTGTGAATGAGTGCGTATTGGTGTTTCCCAGTTCTGGGTTACAGCTGGAAGGGCATCCACTGCGTAAAACATATGCTGGAATAGTTGGTGGTTCATTTTGCTGTGGCGACCCCTGGTAAATAAGGGACTAAGCCGGAGGAAAATAAATGAATGAATAATGGTAGAAATGCAATATATTTTTGATTTCTCATCTACAGAATATATTTAGCATATTTTAGCAAGAACATATATATTTCTACCATGTGGTTGAGCATCTCTTTTTGTTGTCTTTCAGTGGAGAAGGATGAGTTGGCATCTCGTGCTTACCTGTCAGAGCTTCAGAGCATCAAGTCTCACCTGGAGGATGCGGAGAGCAGACTGATGCGTGGCATACAGACTCCACATCCCAGTACATTATCAGGAGATGCTGCAGACAGCGCTGTTCATATAGCAGAGCAAGAGGTGAGGCGTCATCAGCACAACTACTCCCTCTGCTGGTCAATCACCTCAGTAATCTGTATATGTGAATTAAGCAGTACATTCAGTGACTGCATCAACTGTAAATTCTGCACTATTGCTTTTCACTTTAAGATTTGCTGTACTTGACAGGGCATACTCTTGGAAAATTAAGGTGTTATCTGACATTTTTTGTCAAAACTGTGACTTTCACATTCTTATACTGTGACCATTTATTTAAGTTGTTATGTGCATTTTATGACTTGATTCTTGATTACTAGTTTCTGCAATATAGCGATAAATATCAAATACAACCTTATAGTTACAAACTTGGGATTGATCAAATAGTTGAAACACCCCATGCTGTTATTTTAATATTTATTGATTGATTTAAGAGATGTTTTTGGTTTGGTCTTATTCGTCTATTATTTTAATATTTCTATTTAGCTTTGTTTTATTTTAGTTTTAATTTTAATGCATTTTATTTAGTCATTTTCATTATTTTTTATTTTAATAAAATAATTTAGTTGTTCTATCTAATATGTATTTTATTATATTTCAGACTTTATTTACAAATAATTTTAATCATTTTACAAAATACAAATAAACCTTTAAATAAGTTTTATACACATTGTTGCTAGCACATTATTGGGCAAAATATTTGAATATGCCTCTTTAAAATGTATTTGTTTTTTAATTTTTGTTTTATTTAACATTTAACTTTAATTTAAGTTATGCAGCATTTGTGAGTACACCAGCATATAAGTTGGCTCAAAATCAGCAGTCATAGACGAAATTGCTATTTTAATTTAATGTCTTAATATATAAATAAAATATAACCTCAAGAAACTTTTGTGGTGTTGCAGAAGCTCCAGCAGGATCTGAAAGGTCTTCAGTCAGATTTGGGTGAAGTGTCTCGTCGCTGCGTGAGCTTCTTTGAGGAGAAACCTACATCTTCCAGTGTGCCTGTCCTGCGGTCAGAGCTCAACCTGGCTGTAGAGCACGTAGAGAAACTCAACTCCCTCTCTTCTGTATATCTGCAAAAGTTAGTGCATTTGCAGTTCATATATGCATGCATTTTCTGCTAAATATCCATCAAGGCGTGTTTAGCCTTCAAGTCTTAGTTCTAAACTTTTATGAATTTCTTTTTTCTGTTAAAAACAAAGCAAGATATTCTGAAGAATATTAAAAAAAATCAACTGTTGACATCAAGGGCTCTCTATTAACAATCTAAGTGCACAGTATAAATTATCTAAAGCACTTTTGCTATTATAAGGATGAGAAAAACAGTTGTCGCACCCAGCACATTTTCTAACTTTAAGAGCAAGTTTGTCACGCCATAGTGTATTTGCTATTTACATGGCAGACTTTGAAAACAGAAAAACTGAACAATTCAATACAGAGGAAATGAGTATAAAGAGAAACTGTTCTGACCATCTACGGTTTAAGTCTGTGGTGTCTGCCTCTCCATTCGGCTGTAGATTCAGGAAATGGTGGTTGTTCTGGACACACTCCACTCAAGACATCCAATATTCCATAGGTTGTTTAATCTCATTTATTAAGTCCAAAGATTTGTTTGAAAAAATTTCTAAATTCTGTTCTGGCATGGTAAAAAAAACACCTTGTCCAACATCCAAAAACACATCCTATTTTCTATTCTTATGCCCCTATATGTATATGTCTTTAAAAGGTGGACAAATCTAAACCAAACAATATAAACACAAATATAAATATGCATATAACAAACAGTAATACTACTGATAATGATAACAATAAACATTGTTTAATTTAATGAATAATCTGGCTTCAACAGAGCCCGTTTCCACCAAAATCCCCTGAGATAAAGCATGAGAAAGCATGGCAGGAGCTAGCAATTTTTATATTTCAATCCTTTATTTTTCATATATAAAGATATTTGTGGGTAACACGGTGGCTCATTGGTTAGCACTATCGCCTCACAGCAAGAAGGTCGCTGGTTCGAGTCCTGGCTGAGCCAGTTGGCATTTCTGTGTGGAGTTTGCATTCTCCAGGTGCTCTAGTTTACCCCAAAGTCCAAAGACATGCGGTACAGATGAATAAACTACTCTAGCCATAGTGTATGAGTGTGTGTGGATGTTAGAGTTTATGGGTGTTTCCCAGTACTGGGTTGCGGCTGGAAGAGGATCTGCTGCGTAAAACATATGCTGGAATAGTTGGTGGTTCATACCACTGTGGCGACCCCTGATAAATAAGGGACTAAGCTGAAGGAAGATATCTGTGTGCATTTGTGCATCCCTGTGTGTGTAATAAGCAATGCATATGCATATTTTTGACTCGCATTGGCATATCACACTAACATGCTCTTTAAATAACAAAATAAAAACTGCGACATTGACTTTAGAGCAACTTTTATTTGGTCAATGGCGTGATCAATGGCGCCTCAAAATAGCAACACACCACCAATGCACCTTAACACACATGTTTTTTGCACAAATAGGTGCAAATGCATTTGCTATTTTAACAACGTGGGGCAGGATGTGAAAGTGGTACCTGCACCAGGCTGAAACAAAAACAAAAAGACTATGCATTGCACTGGGTGCATGATAGGGCCCCTATTGTAGGAACAATAAATACTATAGAAGTCAGTGGCTGGTCTAATGTTCTTCAGTAAATATTTGTTCAAGGAAAGAAAGAAACTCAAACATGTTTGGAAGAAGTGGATGAGTAAACGATGACAGATTTTGAATTTGTGGGAGAGCTATCCCTTTAAGGTCAACCATGATTTGAGTGTTTGTTTCTCTGCCAGACTGAAGACAGTAGATGTGTTGATGAAAAGCCTGCAGGCGGCAGAAAGTCAGGTCAGAAAGTATGAGAGTCGACTGAGTGAAGAGGACATCGTGCCTGCAGATACTGCAGCAATCCAAGCCTTAGGAGAGCAGTTAAAGGTGAGAAAAACAGACACACATCACTAGCAGTTGACTGATATCACAACCAAACCAAGCTGCCTTCCCACAATCGCCACCATTCATAAACAGTTGTGGCATTTTGGGCCTTGTTTACATAGAGCTTTGAAATTTGTTACAAAAGTAGGTGTTCCCCTCTACATATAGACAACAATAAACTTGGCGGTAATCAACGAGTCAATTATTGTTTTAATAGATATAACCAGGACATGTATACAAATTATTGAACAGATCAAACTAGCCTTTCTCATTCGTATGAAAAATCGGGGGAGACACGTGATTTATATAAAAATTTCTTGAGTGTAAAACATTTTAACAGAATCCCCATTTTTAAATATTAGATGCATTTCTATTCAGAAATTATAGTAATGAAAAGCTCCCTGAATTTAAACCAGCTAAAATCGATGGGAGATTTCAAGCTTGCTATAGGTTTGGCATCACTACTTTTAGTTTATTTTCCTCAAATGGGGAAATAGATCTTCCAGAAAATCTCAGATATGTATGGTCTGGACAAATGTGATTTCTTTAGGTACCTGCAAACCAGGACCTACTTTAATAGCGAGATTAGATGCCTGGAGAACCATCCCCCCCAATTTAACTGACTTAAATATTGACAACTACAAGAACAAAGACAATAAGAGACTTGATTCAAAATTGTATTCTGCCATCCAATTCAACAAGAAAGACTCAACAAATGACATCAGACTAAAATTGAGAGAGAATCCAACCTAGTTATCTCAGAGAAAGATTGGTTGAATATCTGCTCAGTACAGGCCACCTCCAGCTCTGGTTTGTGGAGAGATTTTTGCTGGAGGAATCTTACCAGATACTTTATAACCCCCAAGATAACATGTATGCAAACACGGGAGAAGGACAGGGGAAAGTGCTGGAGGAAATGTAGAGTAGACTTGGCAAACCACTATCACATATTTTGGAGTTGCCCTTTCATTCAGTCATACTGGCAGGACGGAATGCAAGTAATATGAATTGTTTTTTATTGAAGATGTGGATTTTTCTTTTACAACATGTTATCTGGGAAATATTGCAGCCAACTTAACAGTAAAAGACAAGTATTTATTAAAAATACTCCTAGCAACCAGTAGGAAAACTGTTACTCGAAAGTGGCTACAACTACAAAATCTGAATGGTTGGATATCATATCTAACGTTCAAAATATGGAGAGGATGACTTTTTCTTTAAAACTACAAATGGACAAATACCTGCAATATTAGGAGAAATAAATTGTACTTATGCCTTTACACAGTGTAATCTGATTTCTATATGTATTTGTTAATGTGACCTGTAAGGAAATTTGTGACCAGTCAACTGTTCATGTAAGTTCCGGTGTTTAATTTAATTTAATTTAATTTAATTTAATTTAATTTAATTTAATTTAATTTAATTTAATTTAATTTAATTTAATTTAATTTAATTTAATTTTATTTAATTTTATTTAATTTAATTTTATTTTATTATTTCTTTAAATCTATTATTTGTATTTTTACCTTGTTTTTTCCTTAAAAAAGAGAAATAAAAATAAAGTATAAAAAATGAAAAGCTCTCTGAATTAAAAGTAAGTTTTGTCATAAATTATATTGGAAGACTGTAAATACATTTATCATTTTAAATCATCAAAGTATATTTTAAAAACTAATAAAATTATTTAATTTTAATTTTAAATTGAAATAATGTTGATTTAGCCATGCACACAGCCATTGCTGCAGATAAAGCTTTAAATTAAATAAATAGCTGATTATCTATTAAATATGTATTAAATAATGATATTATTCATACAGTACAATAGTAAATATGTCATTATATTAAATATTTAAATAAATAATAATAGTAAATCCATTCCAAATAGATTATTATTTTGGATACAGTTATTCATAACAATTCATTTGATGTAAATATTGCCCAAAAATATGTGCAAAAATACTATTAATATTTCACCTCATGCAGATAGTCTTCATTTTAGTCAAGTTTCCCAAATCATATATGTTCTGTACATTTCTACATGTGTAAGTTTAGGCTTTTGTTTGTGTGAGGTATTGAAAAGGTGACCCTACATTGTTTAATTCAATTATTTTTTATTATATTTTACACTCTGTATGTCACTCAGCAATGGCACTCGGAGCTGCAGGAGCAGGATCACATATTTCAGAGTTTGAGTTTAGAGGTCCAGCAGGCTAGAGAGGTGGGCAACCAGCTCAGCCAGCTTCACCCGGACCGCAGCCCTGAATTGGACCGCTATCAGGAGAAAGCACACCAGCTTACAGACAGGTGGAGTGGAGTCCGCAGGCAGATGGAGACACGGTGAGTCCTTCACAAGACTATTATCATGTGGGTTGTTGACATGGTTTTGCATTTTCACTGTCACACAGGACATTATTTGATTATAATTCCTATTGTCATCATTTAAATTGCAGTGAATGGTTAAACATTTCAGCATTTTCCATGGACCTTTTTTAATAAAAACTGCTTTTTTAGCAAATGGCAATCATTTTTTTTCATCTATATATTTTAAAAACATATTGTGACACCTCTTGTCAAATAGCACCATGTCCTCTGGTGTGACAATAGATGCTAATTTTCAGTGTTGGGGAAAGTTATTTTTGAAAGTAATGCATTACAATATTGAGTTACTCCCACAAAAAAGTAACTAATTAAGTTACGTAGTTCCTTTTTTATTGCAAGTAAAGCGTTACATTACTTTTGAGTTTCTTTTGTGTTACTTTTTATTACTTGTTTGAGGCTTGATCTCTTAAAGAACTTGCTTTTTTTTCTTTTTCTTTTTAAATAGAGGAGCTCTGCAAATACCAACACACTGTATAACCTACACCTACCCCTACCATTTACCAAAACAATAAAACACAAAAAGTATTTTAGGATAATGCTATCTGAGAACTTCTTAACCTCCGAGCTATAGATGCCGTATATACAGACTGAAAGTTTAAAGCAATGTGTTTGCAATTTTTGAGAAGCTCATTAATTAAACTAAAAACTCGCATTACATTTTCAAAAAAGTAACTCGAATATTATTACCTTTTTTTTTTTTAAGTAATGCGTTACTTTACTCGTTACTTAGAAAATTATATTATTATGTAACTGTTGTTAACCCCAACACTGCTAATTTTAGATCTGCAATTTCATGGAAAGTTTTAATTAGTTGAAGGACCCCTAGAAAGTGCCTGGTAATTTATTATTATTTTTTTTTACATATGGAACTTTTTTTTAATTTATAAAATTAATTTTTTCCCCCCTTATTAATCCAGAGTCACCACAGCGGAATGAACCGCCAACTTATCCAGCACTTTTTTACGCAGCGGATGCCCTTCCAGCCACAACCCATCTCTGGGAAACCTTTATAATTTAATATAAAATAAATAGCACTATATGAAGTTGATTTTTAACTAAATAGCACAATATATGGATGTTTTTTCTTCAATTTGGTTTTGTCACACCATAAGACATTTTTACAGACTTCAAACTACATAAATGTTTTATTCTTCAAAGGTGGTGTTTTACCCCCAAAAAAGCATTTTTACAGCCTACAATCAAAAAAAGGCTTGCTGCTTGTTCAAACAATTCATTTAAAATGACAACTAAGGACAACTTAATTGTTTTTACAAATTTGAGTGGATTTAAAATAAAACAATCAAGTAACTTTAATTGGTTTGTGTGGAGACAGCATGAAGGAATTGTTTGGAACTCATTTTGTACAGTGTATTTGTCAGAACATTACACTTGTGCTGGTTTCCTCACACTGGCTACCAATCCAGTTGAGAATTCAGTACAAAGTACTGTTGTGTGTTTTTAAATCCCTTCATGGCCTGGCCCCGGAGTATATTTCTGAGCTAATTAATATACATCAACCTGTGAGATCGCTTCGCTCTAAGGATTGATTCTATTTGACAGTTCCGTGATCACGCTTGAAATGTTGAGGTGATAGAGCTTTTTCAGTAGCAGCTCTTCCACTCTCCTTAAGAACTCCAACTTCTGAGTCTTTTCAGAAGTCGCTGAAAACACACTTTAGCTTTTAATCATGTGTTGTGAGTTGATGTACTTTGTTCCTTGTATGTTCGCATGTATCATGTGTTTTTATATACAGCACTTTGGTTCCCATTGTGGTTGGTTGAAAGTGCTCTAGAAATAAATTGAGTTGAGTTGAGTTTGTCAACTACCCATATTTAGTAATGCATTAGATTGTAACCCAAAACCTGATATCCTACAGTCAAGCGGATCTGGAGATGCTGGGATCTGTTCTGCAGCAGTATAGAGAAGGCCACACTTCTCTCATACGCTGGATAGAGGAGACCACCGAAAAACAGGAGAACACACAGCCCGAACAAACTGACAGCAGAGCTTTGTCAGAACAGCTCGCACAGCAAACTGTGAGAGAGAGTGCTGATATTTATGAATATTTCCAAGTGTTGTAAATCAAATGTACTTGATTCAGTGTCTTCTCCTGCAGGCATTGGTAGTTGAGATTGAACAGAACCAGGTCAAACTGGATGAGTGCCAGACCTGCTCTAAACAGTACAGCGCTGCCGTTAAGGTACAGTAAGCAATACCTTAAACTAACCAGTGTTGACTACTAGATAAAGTCAAAAGTATATCTCTTTTATGCGCATGTAAGAATAAAAGCAAAATATCTAGAGTTTACATTGTGGTAGTCAACAGATATGTTTTAGGGAGGAGTATTTTATCTATTTATTTATTTATTTATTTATTTATTTATTTGTATTTATTTTTTCAAGTTGGTGTCTGCAGTGTGATAAAACGTCTTCAATTTTGAAAACTAAAGATAAAAGTACATTAAAATATTGTGTTTTAGGTCTTAAATAATTTTAAACAGGTCTTCATTTTAGAATTAGGCCGACACTAATTCACTTACCAACAACCCATCTCAATAAAACTTTTATCTAACGTTAAATTTGTTAACATGTTGTTTTTTAAGTGTGTGTGTATACAACTAGAGTGTGCATGACAATTAAATATTTTCCACTGGTCCAACTGGAAAAATGTCTTAGTGATAAGCCCTGTATAAGTCTGAAATTTCATTCCTAATGAGCTTGAAAAGTCATAAAAATTCATAAATTTGACTTGGTGAAAACTGCAGAAAACCTGTGAAAAGAAAAGATTTGTAAATGATTCCTCCTAGCATGGTTCAATTGTCAGAACATTACACAGATTATATTTATTAACTTAAGAAAGGGCTCACTGCAAAAATGCAGTTTCGTATACAAAATATGTACTCACCAGACACTTTATTAGGTACATCTTACTAGTACACTTTTGCCTTCAGAACTGCCTTAATTGTTTGTGACATAGATTGAACAAGGTACTGGAAATATTCCTCAAGATTTTAGTCCATATTGACTTGATAGCTTTACGCAGTTGCTGCAGATTTGTCGCCTGCACATCCATGATGCGAATCTCCCATTCCACCACATCCCAAAGGTGCTCTATTGGATTGAGATCTGGTGACTGTGCAGGCCATTTGAGTACAGTGAACTTATTGTCATGTTCAAGAAACCAGTCGTAGTAGATCAATCTAAAAATACTCTTACCAGCTTGTCTGACACCAACAACCATGCCACGTTCAGTCTCTTAAATCACCTTTCTTCTGCATTCTGATGCTCGGTTTGAACTGCAGCAGACTGTCTTGACCATGTCTGCATGCCTAAATGCATTGAGTTGCTGCAATGTGATTGGCTGATTACAAATATGCGTTAGCAGTTGGACCTAATAAAGTGGCCAGTGAGTGTAAATCTAATATGCACCTATTACAAAATGTGCTTCATTATTATTATATGCAAACACAGCCTCTCAACACAAAGATCCATCCTTGTCTAATTATGTTTTTCTTCTGTTTTGTGGTTATCTTTTATTTCTCTCATACGTACACATCTCTTTTTCCCTATCTCCAGTACTTTTCTTGTTCGGTCTTTTTTTTCTTACTGTGAAACTATAGCCGGGTTCAATGTTGCCCCCTTGTGGATAAACAAGAAAACCTCAAAGCATGTGTGCAACCTTGTACATGGTATAATACGCATGTGCAGTGCACATTTAATGGGCTGATTGTATAATATACTTGCAAAATCCTCTACAGTATGTGTGAAAGTATACTTTGGGATTTTTATTTCCAATCATTTCGAAGAAATGCAAACAACCACTTACTTCACAAAATATAAATGCTAAAATGTTTACCGTGTCTTCCTGTTTATGCATTAGGACTATGAACTTCAACTTATGACGTTCAGAGCATTTGTTGAATCAACCCAGAAGTCCCCTGTGAAAAGGAGGAGGATGCACTCTTCCTCAGATGTCATCACACAGGAGGTACATGCAGGAATGCTCGTACCACATTCATTTAATGGTTATGTTGGTTTTATGTTGACTTTACATGCATTAATCATATTTTAATCCTGCATCATAGTTCATGGATTTACGCACTCGCTACACAGCTCTGGTTACCCTGACAACGCAACATGTCAAGTATATTAGTGATGCGCTACGAAGACTGGAGGAGGAGGAGGTGTGTTATTATGCTTTTATAAGCCTTACACTTAATTTTTTCCTTTGTACCATATTTTCCAGAAAAAAAGCTGCACACATTTAAAAATAAAGTAACACTAAATCAAACTAAAACCTTACAAACTTACAAAGTTACTTTATTAATATTTAAATAAATGTATCAGCATTCAGAACAAAACGATAATTAAGTGTACATACACACAGGGCTTTACATTAACTTTTTTAATCACCGGCCACTGTGGCTAGTAGTTTTCCAATGTTACTAGCCACTCTGCATTTTCGATAGCTACATTTTTGTTGTTGGGAAAATATATTTTATATGCATAAATTTGACGTTGACATGCTAAAATTACTTGATTTAAATTTTATTTTATGTCCACATGCGTCCTCATTCATTTCACTTTTTGTGTGTCAAGTATGCGCTTGCTCATTGAGCATGAATAAATGGGTTGTGGTTTCATAGTGTTATGTTGCAATTAGTTTTTATTTTACATGACTTTTTTTAGAGTTTAAAATTAACGATTTACCATATTTATCTCTATAACCACACTAAACAATAATTATTTCTTAGCCACAAATTTTTAATGTGTCAAAACAAGCAAAATATAGCTGTATACTATACTTTTTATTTAACAAAATATTTCTTAAAAAAGAAAGAAAAGCAATTGACTTTTAAAAAATATCTATTGTCATGTATCAAAAATATGCTCGGTAATCTGTCAAGGCTAATGATCTCTCGGATCACCAGATAACTGCACATAAATGGAGAGTTCATGTCCCATTAAAGCAATATTGTAAAAAAAAAAAAAAAAGATAATTAAACCATTTTAACAAAAAATGAAAGTAAAAAAAAAACGTAAACAAATGAAAGCAGGTGAAACATACCATGTGTGATAATGAAAGGAAGATCACATGCACGCGGTTAACTTTAGGCAATTTAATAATCTGTTCAAAGTGAAAGCAACCGGTGCTGCTTACAAAAAGACACATTTTGAGCTCTTAAAAGCATCAGGACCGTGGAGGCATGTTCATCACTTTTTGTCTAGTTTATTTGAAAGAGAACCGATGACAGTTGCGTTTCCAGAACCTGTTCCAGACATGGTTGCTTCACGATTCGGAAGCGCGCACGCGTTAAGCAGTCGCGTGCACGCGTTTTAAGAAGTCGCGTGCGCATCACATCAGCTGTTATGATCAGCCAAGTGATGATCATCCTCTCATTCGGTATTCACTTGCTTTCTTCTGCTCGCGTGATCACAATTATTTTACTTCTCGATTCTAAGATCTCATTTGCACGCATATTTTTGCACATTTGCACGCATACATAGGAAAACTACAATTAAAAAATTATTTTCAACCAGCCAAAGTGGCTAGTGGAAATGTCTGTCTAACCTGCCAAAGCTGAAATCTACCCGCATTTGGCGGGTTGGCGGGTGTTAATGTAAAGCCCTGCATACACACATCAAACAGAAATCATGTCATTTACTTTAAGCTACATTTATTCTCAACAGCAAGCCTATAGCAAAAATGATGTAATATTTTCCTGACTTGATCACATCAGATTGCTTTTGCAAATTTCTAATTTTAATAAAAAAAATAGAAAATCTGATACAAAAAGGCAGCATCAGGTTTCATGATTTAAAATGCTCTGTTTTTGCGCTATAGAAAGAAGTGGAAGAGGAGAGACAGGCCCGAGTGGGGCAGGTCTCAGACCTGCTCGGGTGGGTCAAGGGCCTACAGGAGCGCACAGGCAGATCTGCAGAGCCATCACTTGTCGCACATCAGGTAAAACTTGAGTGTTGCCTAATGGAATGGTACCTGTTTTTATGTACTTTACAGATACTCAACATTAAGGCCCAATCCCAATTTTATTTTTGTACCCCTAACCTTTACCTTTCAAACAGAGTCTGAAGGGGAAGGGCTTCAAAATTTACCCCTAAGAATTGGGACAGCACCCACACACATCATCATATGTCAATGTGATTTCTTGCTTCATATGAGATCAGACGGTTGTAACTGCTGTAGTTATTCCAGTTGTGTCATTTTTTTGTATTTATCTTCAGGAACTCACTGAAGGCAGCGATATCATGTTATCATAAGAATCTACTGTGACAATAAGATTGTAACTGTACTGTGCATTTACACCGGGGCCATATTCATCTACGTAAACACACAAAAAACAACATTAACGTTATACCAGACACTGTAAAAAGCTCATTCCCAGCCACTAGACTTTTCTGACAGGGTATTCCAGTGTCATCGAGTGTCAGAATGTTGTGGGACTGCTATACAGGAGTTATTATTATGGATTATAGATATTGAAATCTAGCCGTTTTTATTTTATTTTATGCATGACAGTAAAACACGAGCGCAGTTATGAATTTATTAAATCATATGCTTGTTTGTTGTAAAAAAAATTAATAATGACAAACAATACTCATTTGGATCTTCTTGCTGTTGTGGCTGGTGTATTCTTGGAAATTTTCTTACTCCTTGGTGTGGTCCTGAAACATCTCTGTTTAAAGGGCTATCTACCCCTTCCCCTTAGCCCTATGCCTTCAAGCTAAAGAGAATTGGGACACCCCTACCCCTTCACAGGAACAGGCAAATTGAGGGGTAGAATTGGGATTTGGCCTAAGTCAATTGTGTGTGTTAAATGTCTCTAAAAAGTACTGTGTCTGTCTCGCTTATAGGCTATTAGTGAGCAGCTAGCGGCTAAAAAAGAGGAAGTTGCTGAAGCCATCAGGAGCACCCAAGTCTTCCTGATGTCAAAACAGGCCAGCAAGTGAGTCTGCCTCATATGACCTTTAGCATATACATAAAGAAAACTAAAACTATTGGTTAAAAAACTACTTTTTAAAGTTTAAATTAGATAAAAATCACAATAAATGAAAAACTAAATGAAAATAATGACAGTCATTAAAAAAGTAATTGAAATCAAATAATGATTAGCAAAAGTAAATTTTTCAGAATTCATAAACACTTAAGACATTAGTCAAAAGCATGGCTGTATACAACAATATCTGAAACATAAAGCATACAGTTCGTTCTAACTTTTCCTCATTTGTAAAAAAAAAAAAAAGAAGTAAACTAGGCAACTACATATAAGTACCATATTTAATATGAAGACATTTTTCTGAATTCTTCGTCATTTTTGCTTTTATTTGTAGCATTTTTAAGATTTAGATTCATTGTTTGTTCAAATAATATACTTTTTATTACTAAGAGGTTTGCACTAGAGTTAATGTAAGCTGTGCAAACACTAAAGTTTGCTTTGGTCAACACTGGACGTGTTTGTTAAAAACATATTTCCCCCAAAAATGAAAACTCCATCAACTTTTACTCACACTTCACTTGTTTCAAACCTTTAGTAGTTTATTTCTTCTGTTGAACAGAAAAGAAGTTGAAAAATGTTGAAAAGCTGTAACCATTAACTTTCATAGTATATGTTTACCCTACCATGCAAGTCAATGATTATAGTCGTGTAACATTCTTCAAAATATCTTATTTTGAAACTCTACTTGAGGGAGATGTACTAGTGCATACATTTTCATTTCTTGGTGAACTATGTCATTAACTCTGATAGTCTAGAATTAATAACATTTAAAATGCACAATTATAATAACGTTGGTTTGCACTTACTCCAACAAAAAAAAAACACACATTGTTATTAATTACTTGCATGTATCTTTAGGCTGTCCCCTGAAGAGCGTGCCCAGGTGGTCTCTCAGCTGGATGAGCTGACGGCAACATACACACAACTGTGTGATAGTTCTGCCGCACAAGTGCAACATCTAGAAGAGCAACTGGCCAAAGAGGAAAAGCGCAAGGTAGAGTTAAATGGGCAAGGGGAAGTGACCAATGACAGCAGTGTTCAACTATCCCAACGCCAGCTTCAACGGCTTGAAACAATGCTTCTGAGATATATTGCTTTAAATAATGGTCATTCTGATGATCAAGAAATGCTACAGCAGTGTGTATGTGTGAGCTAGAGCGAGTGAGTCATTTTTTGTTTGTGTGTTTTTTTTATGTTGCCTGTCACGCGTGGTTTAACATTCATCACCATGTTCATACATCTCACAGACGTCTTATTTAACAGTGAAAATTAATAGCATGGTGTGAAATCTAAATCATTTTCATTTTCAACAACATGCTTGGTATCATGTCACCCACACCATCCTTATTTGTCATGTTAATCAAGCACATCTGCTTAAACACAGCTCATTAGAGTAGAATAGTGCCGCAGTTGCCACTTTAGTGTATATTTAAGCCACTTTAGTGTCCATTTAAGCCACTTTAGTGTCCATTTAAGCCACTTTAGTGTCCATTTAAGCCACTTGCACATTGTAGCTTAGATTTTTTTTATTTTTGACATTTCATTCAAAGGCACAGTTAAAACATGGTATAGTAGAGGCGTTAATGTCATTACATTCATATTGTTTTGTTGCCATACGCAGACATTGTGTAGAATTGTGCACTGTACATCAGTCATTATGTAGTCATTACTGTGTGATGGTCTGTTTGTGTTTGAATGGCTACAAGTTAACTATACATGAACAAGACGAGAGCAAGAAAGTCAAACATTTTCTTTAGGGATTGGTATAGACTGAGCACAAAACGCCAGCTGTGCAAACCTCCACCTCACTGTTTGAGCATGATGTGTCCAGATCACAGCTCTATGTTTTTTGTTTGTCTGTGTGTGAGATATTGTCTGTTTTCAGTCTGTGTCTTTAATACTGTAATTCTTTGTGAAATTTAATCAGCATTTTGCTTCAAAATCACTAACAGCTGCCGGGAGAAAATGTAAAGCAGAATTGGAAGTCAGAAATATCTGTTTTAGTCAGAATACAGGTCTATTCTTAGTTGATCAGTAATACAAAATGTGTCTATACAAACCAAGATCTTCGCATATTCGTAGGTAAGTCTCACAGTTTACACATTTAAAGAAAGTATAGCATGCAAAACTATGGTAATAATATATATAACAGGAAACAAAGAGGAATGAATATAGTAGTATTAGTCAGTTCCGGGCAGCATATCAGGCAGCTGGAGTGTGGCATGCAGATCGCTAACATCCAGCTTCTCACCCTATCGCACCTCAATCCGCCGAAACCTCGATCAGTGTGTGTGCGTCTAAGGACAACCCCACACAGTAAGTAGTGCTTGCTTTCTCTCTTACCGTTGCTTTCTTTCTGACCTAGCAATATGTTTTTAAGATTTTCTTCTGTTTTCTTTGCGCATTAAGTTTTGCTTATTATTTGCAAACTGCTGTGCTTCCAAATGTTATTTGCAAGCATCAAATGTTTTATATTTGGTTATTTTGCCTTGAAATTGATAAATAAATGCATGAAAGTTAGTATCAAAGTAATGATTGCTTCTTGTGTTGACTTAAATTACTTCCAACTATGGTGGTGGGCTTTTTCTATGCCCCTCCTAGTTAAAATATTAATAGAAATGCACTGCAAATCATAATAATTTTACTTAGAATTATTATTTTTATCTTTCCATAGGGCCAGGGGGTCATCGCTGGAGTAATTGACCTTGGCACCATGGAAACCTTTCCAGTTTTCCAGGCAGCACAGCATGGCCTCATAGACCAAGACACCTGTCATGTACTGTTAGAAGCACAGATTGTCATGGGTGGTCTTTTCCAGCCTGACTTCCCTGATAAATGCTCATTAGATACGGGTCTTTCCACTGGTTTGATTAATCGTCCTACCTTCCAATCTCTGGAAGAGTTAAGTACTGCTATTTGTCTTGTCAACACAACAAAATTTGAACAGGGCCATGAATTACCAGTTGCAAAAGCAATGAAAGAAGGTGTCATAGAGGAGCTGGTGGGGCTCCGTATACTTGAGTTGCAGATAAGCACTGGTGGTCTGAAAGTTGGCTCCAGTGGTGAAACGGTCAGTCTGGATATTGCAAGGCATAAGGGATTGCTACCCATGGATCTTTCTCAAAAGCTGCAATCCTGCCTTCAGCGGCGAGAACTTATTGATCCAAATACTGCAGAAAAAATAAACCTGATTGACTTTCAAAAGCGTTGTGTTCTCAATGAGGAGACGGGTCTGCGTTTTTTCCCAGTTAAACAAAAGCCAGGAGGAACTGTCTGCCTATGTTCTGGTGGAAAGGTGGGAATTTTCCGTGCAATTCAAGAAGGGCTCATTGACCGACATGTTGCAGTTAGACTGCTAGAGTCTCAGTTGTTTGCTGGAGGTATCGCAGACCCCCGCTCAGGACACAGATTGACTGTTAATGAAGCTGTTCAGCTTGGCCTGATGGATCAGGACTTGGCCTGCACCCTCATGACACGACAGCTAACAACAGGGGGAATAATAGATCCAGTAAGTGGGGAGCGTGTGGATTTGGATGAGGCCATACAAAGAGACCTTCTCTCTCCTCGCATAGCCTTGCGTGTATTGGAATCTCTCCAGTCTTTTAGGGCAATGCTGTGGCCAGAATCAGGGGAGCTGCTTCCTGTAAGTGAGGCACTTCAGCAGGGTGTTGTTAACAGGGAACTTGCTTTAAAAGCTCTGAGAAAACGTCATTCTGTTGGCGCTTTATATTTGCCTGAGAGTGGACAGGTGGTCCCTCTGCATCAAGCTGAGAAGATACTTGAACCACAGGCAGTGGAGTTCTTAAAGCAGACCCAGGTTCCAGATATCCTTCCCCATGCGACTCTATCAAGTTCCTCATATAAGAAGCGATTGAGTTTGGGATCTGTCAGTTCTTCGTCACCCCCTGCTTCTCATGCAGAAATCAGTTATGACTTCTCTAAAGGAGAGGAAGGCATATCACAAGAGCAGGATCAAAACCATCTACTCACTCAAGTGATGAAGCACAGCTACATTGATTGTCATTCAGGAGAACGCTTAGTCCTGCTAAAACCAGATTTCGTAGAGCTAATATGTGAAAATATTAGCTCAAAAAACCTTGCCATACCAGTTGAACATAAACTTAAGAGCATTAGTGCTACAGTGGACAACAAATCTATGAGTGAGATTAAAGAGGACTTGGAAAATGAAGAACCCAAAATTATACAATATAATATTGCCTGCAAAGACGTTTGTTTGGAACAGACTACAGAAATTCCAGAAGAAGGTCTTGCACCTTTGATTGTCACAGACAGAACATTTTCAGAGCCTTTGTATAAAGAGTTTGTGCAAGAGAAAGCTTTGTCATCAAAAGAGTTTAGTGAACCCAAGATAAAAGGCAAAATGCCCTACAAAGTTGTTAATATAGGAGAGACAATAGAAGGAACAGAAGATCTTACACCACTTGCAGAAACAAACAAAATCATCACAGAACCTACCAAAGAAATGATTAGGCGAGAAAAAGATTTGTCATCAAGAGACTGTGTAGAACCCAGGATTAAAAAAGATGTCAGTGACAGTAAGAACATTGAGAGGAGTAGTACTATAGAAGAAGCAGGGGAAGATTGTGCATACTTGACAGGCACAGTCAGAGATTTGATTAAACTTTCCCATGAAGAGGTTTGCCAAGAGAAAGTTCTGTCATTAGGACAGTATAAAGAACTCGGGATTACAAAAGATGAAACTGCCAGCAAGAAGACTGAAATGTGTGAGAGACCAGAAAGACAGATGGAAGTTTTTGCATCTTTGAAGGACCCAGAAGAAGTCTTTATAGATCCTTCACATGAAGTTTCTTCACAAGAACCCATTATTGCAACTGTTATGGAGGCTTCCCATGAGGCCTGGCAAAGGACTGTTATCACATCAGAAGAATGTCATGAACCCACAATTATAAAAGGTACAAACGCTCTGAGTAACACTGGCATGGGTGACACAATTGAAAGAGCAGAAGAAACCTTTATGGAGCCTACAGGTGAGAGTTGGCAAATGAAAGTACTGTCATCAGGAAAATGGGATGAATCCATGATTAAAAAAGGTCAAATTCCCTGGACAAACACAAATGTGGGTGACATGTTAGAAAGAGTAGAGGAAGATCATGCACCCTCGACAGGCTCAGCCAAAACGTCAATAGAGCCTTTACACAAAGAGAACTTACAAGAGAAAGTTCTCTCATCAGAACAATATAAAGAACACATTTCCAGCAAGAAGACTAAAATGGGTGAGACATTTGAAAAGCAAAAGGAAGTTGTTGCAGATTTGACACACTCAGAAAAACTCTATGTAGAACCTACACATGAAGTTGGTTGGCAAGAGAATGTTTTGTCAGTAGGAAAATGTGAAGTACCAATGATTATACAAGGTAAAACTGCATGGGAGAACTTGGGTATAGATGAGACAATAGAAAGAGCAGAGGAAGGACTTGCACCCTTCACAGGGACAGCCAAAGTTTTAACAGAGCCTTTACATAAAGCGAACTTACAAGGAAACGTTCCATCATCAAGGCTGTTGAAAGAATTAGAGATAAAGAAGGATGAAACAGCCAACAAGAAGACTAACGAGGGTGAGACACTAGAAAAACAAATGGAGTTTGCTGCAGGTTTGACTGACTCAGAAGAAGCCTTAATATGCTGTACACATGAAGGTGTTGCAAATTTGACAGGCACAGAAGAAACTTGTCTGGATCCTTCAAGTGAGATCGGGCAAAGAAAAGTTATGTCATCAGGAGAATGTGATGAACCTGTGATTAGAAAAGGCAAAATTGCCTTGACTAACACAAATGTAGGCAATACAATAGAAAGAGCAGAGGAAGATCATGCGCTCTTGACAGGCACAGTCAGATCTCTTACAGAGCCTTTACATAAAGAGAATGAGCAAGAAGTTCTGTCATCAGGCCAATATAATAAACTCAAGATTAAAAAGGGGGAAACTACCAGCGATAAGACTAAATTGGGTGAGACACTAGAAAGACAAAAGGAAGTTGTTGCAGCTTTGACTGGCTCTGAAGAAGCCTTAATAGAGCCAATACTTCAAGTTGTTTTGCAAGAGGAAGTTCTTCCTTCAAAAGAATATGACGAGCCCATGATGATACAAGGTGAAGATACCCGGATGAACATAGGTGTAGGTGAGACAATAGAAAGAGCCGAAGAAGAAACAACAGAAGATTGTGCACTTTTGACAGGTACAACTATAGAGCCTTTACATAATGTGAACTTACAAGAGAAAGTTTTGCCATCAGAAAAGTATAAAGAATCCAGGATTAAGGAAGACGAGACTGCAAGCAAGAAGACCAACATTGGTGAGATGCCAGAAAGACAAAAGGATGATGTTGCAGCGTTGACTGGCAGAGAATTAGAGTCAATGGATGAGTTTGTTCAGCAAGAGAAAGTGTTGTCATCAGATGAATGTGAAAATTCCATGATTATAATGGGTAAAATGGCCTGGGTGAACACTGCTGTGGGTGAGACAGTTGAAAGAACCGAGGAAGATCTTGCCCCCATAGCAGATACAGCCAGAGCATTGACAGAGCCTTTACAGGAAGTGAACTTACAAGAAAAAGTTCTATCAACAGGAAAATATAAAGAACTCAAGATTAAAGAAAATGAAGCTGCCAGTAAGATACTGCCACCAAGATCAGAGGAAGATCTTTCCCGCTTATCAGGCACAAAAGAAACGTATATGGTGACTTCACATAAGCTCTGGGAAGAGCAAGTTCTGTCATCAGGAGAATGCAATGATGATGCTAAGACTAAAAAAGATAAAACAGACAGGAAGAAACTTGATATGAGTAGGAGTTGTGAACAAGCTAAGGAAAGACTTTCCTCATTGACAGGCACAAAAAGCCCATTTATAGAGCCACTGCAAGAAGAGTGCTGGCAAAAGAAAGAGAAAAAGGTATCTGAGGCATCAGAACAATATGAAAAATCCAGTATTAAAACACAAAAAATTGCCAGCAAATTGACTGATTTGGGTAAGACTATTGAAAGGACAACAGAGCATCTTACACCTTCAGCAGAGATGGGACAAACCTCAATAGTGGCTTCAAATACAAGCTCAACTTTACCAAAGACTATATCAGATAACAAGATGCTCTCTGAACATCATATTGCAGATTCAACTGTAAATCAATCTGAAAATAAGCAAATTCCAAAGGTGGAACAAGCAGAGACCAGTGTGGTGGAGATAACTGAACAAAAACAGATTGATGTGGATGAAGGCAGTAGACTAACTTCGCAAGATACTGTAAAAATTGTACAATATGATCCGCTAAATAGCAAACTAAAAGAAGCTAGGACTTTAAAACAGTCTGTGGAACTGGACATTTTTGAACATGATGCAAACAGAGACTGTTTTGACAAACCTGATAAAGAAAAGAAAGAAGATCCTTTGGAATTTAAGACTTTGTCTGTGGAACTAAGTGCTGATGATGTAAAATTTGAGAATATGCCTATGGAACGACAGCAGGGTGATCTTGAAATTAAAGGTGCCGGCCATATGAGAAAAGATGGGCTTGAAACAGAGATCTTTCCTGATTCAGAAAGCAAGAAACAGCTGGTTGATACAGTGATTCAGGAGAGCAATGACACATCATTGGAGGTCCTGACTGAATTTACCTTGAAAGCAGAAAAAAGACTTCAGCAGGCCATTAAAGACATAAGGCCTTCAAAAGGCAAATATGTCAAATCAGAGCAAACTCGAAGTACTAATCAACCTCAAGAGACTTCTGAGATCAGATGGCAAGAGGTTGAAGTTGGGAATTCAACAACATTACCCGACTGCACCACAGAGACAAATATCCTAAGGCAGACAGACACTAAATCTGCAATTTCTACTGCCAGTTTCTCAGAAAACAATGGTGACAGCAAGGAACAAGTCCTATCTACTAAGGAAACAAAAGCAAAGACTAGGGTCAAGTGCCAAACAGTAAGTGAGCCTGCAGTCTCTAATGTTATTTCTTCAGATATTGATGAAGACTTGCAAAACAAGGAACACATGCTAAAAGAAAAAAAAACGGGAGGTCATGGTTTTGAGGCAGAAGCTGAGGAAATGAAGGACAGCAAGACAGATGGATTTGATGTGGTTTCTACAACCACAATGGAAGTAAAGGTACCAGGAAAGAAGAAAGGTAGAGGGAAAAACAGCAAGAAAGCTAAAATGGAAAAGGATGAGAGGCCACTTGTTTCAGACACCTCAGTCAGAATATTTCCTTCAGAAAAAGCAGAGCTTGATGAACAAGGTGGCTTTACAACCAGTCAAGAACCTTTCATAAAAGATGGCAATGAGACAGTACAGCAGTCAGAGATGACCCAAGGAAGTGGAACTGTGTCAGGGAGTGGAGAGAATGTTCAAGGCCAAGATATGGAAACTGGGATAGATAGAACTGCTAATGAAATGAAAGCCCCCAAATGGGAGTCTGATCGTGAAAACAATACAAGCCAGAAAGAGAAGACTTTAACACCACACAGTCCAACAATTTACAAAGGCAAAACAGACCAGAATCAGGAAGTTACTGAGGTCTCTAAAGACCTCTGCACTGAGGTATCAGAAAAGAAGAAGAAGAAGAAAAGCAAAAGTAAAAAGGCTAAGCAAGTGGTCATTGTTGAAGAGGGAGAAGAAAAAAGAGATGATGAGACGGAGAAAGAGCAGAAGATGATAATCCCTGAGGTTCAAACTCAAAGCAGCCAGTCAGATCAGAAAGAACATGTGAAGAAATTAGAGGAAGCTAAGCAGGCACTGGCACAGAAGGAAATACTTTTGAGGAAAGCTAAGGAAAGCATTCTCAAGAAGGTGTTTGAGCGGGGAGTGAGTGAAAAGCAGGCTGCTGAAGAATTAGAGGCTATGCGTCACTCAGCCAATAATGGAGAACGCCGTATAACCGCACAGGAGGGAAATAGTGTGGAAATGACAAGCAATAAGCAAACTCCAAGTAAGAAGCAAGACAGTAAACTACACAAGTCAAGGCAAGAACTTAGCAAAAATAAAGACAGGTCGATGCCAACCACTGCAGAGGATCTACCTGGGGCTGATATTGATGCATGCTCCTCAACTAAAACACAACTTCTTCAAGATCAGCGTGACAAGAAAACTAAATCAGGATTAAGTGAGGATGATATGAATCAGGACATTTCATCCTTGAAGTCCTCTGATGACATTGTGGACATTAAGCAGAAATATATTGTTAAAATACCAAATTTTATTGGGGAAACCAAAGAAAGAAAGGCAGAAGAACAAAACATTGAGCCATTATATTCAGAAGATGAAAAGTTAATTGAATCTGTAATTGAATTGACATCACCATCAAGCAGTCACGAAGTTGCCAAATCGTTACCAGTCGAACATGTTACTGACATTCCTGCAATAAAAGACTCTAAAGAGCTTCTGTCAAGTGAGGCGTGTACTCCGATGGTCAAGATAGAACCAAAAAAGGTGAAATCAAGTGAAATTTATTCGAAAAGAAATGAGGAGACCCTTTTCAAAGATGAACCTTTTAACCAAGAAAATAACATTTCTGGGCTACCCTTTAAGGAGGTTATGCCAGAGTCTGATAACACGCAAAAGGAAGTGGTGGAAGAATATCCAATGGGTTCAGTGGAGAGACAACCTGAAGTTCTTCAAGTTAATATTGAAGAAATGGGTAGGGATGCTACAAAAGTCAGCAAGGTAAAGAGTCATTCTATAGTTTATATTTATATACAGTTTACTATAAATTGGATCTTTTAAATAATTTTCCTTCTCTTTCAGTCCTCACTTGCCCGGCAAGAGTGCTTGGAGCACGACCAACAGATTGTGGCCCTGCTTTCCATGGTGAGACACATTGAGGTTCGCCTTAAGCAGCAGCAGCAACAGTCCGTTGGTCGAAGTCTCTCCACACTTGATGACATAATCAGGCAGACAGAGGTATTTGCTATGTGTTACAATTAAAGTTTAGCATGCATAGTAGTTCATTTTTACAAGTTAAGATAACAAGGGGTATATTTTATTTTAATTCTCTTTTCAGGCCCTTGTTCTAGAAATTGGGGATCTGGAACCAGAAGTGCACACTGAGATTGAATCAGCTACACAGCTACTGGAGTCTAACCTTGAGGATGTTCCACCTCAGCTGCTTATGGCCCTGGAAAAAGATGTGCATGGCTTAACCCGAGCTTATAGTGCAGCCAGGGACCATGCACAGAATACTCTGCAGGGGTTACGAACACAACGTGATGCTCAAAATGTAAGGAAAATCATGCAAAATTTAGTTGAGAGAGTTTTTTTTTTTTTTTGCTTTAGTTTGTTTTAAATATCTTTGCATGACATTTATATTTTTGCAGGAAGCTGTAAACAGTCAGCTGAAGTCTTTGCAAGATCATGTTGACAAACTTCTCAGTTGGGTTAAGGAGACTGACACTCAAATGCAGGAAGAAACTGGGGTAGACGGACAGACAGTGGCAGAGATCACTCGGAAGCAGCAGTTGTGTGAGGTAAAACATCAAGTGTGGCAATATCTTTTCAAGCAATTACACATAGACATTTAAAAAAATTCAGAGACCACTTAAAAATTCTCAGTTTCTCTGGAATTGCTATTTGTAGTTATGGATTAAAAATTAAAAAATGTTGTCATTTAGAGCTTTTTTTATGAAAATAACAAGGTGCCATGTCAATGCTTGGTCAATGAACCCTCATTTTTATTCACTACGAATGAAGACATTTTTTTCTGGGAAAAAATAGACTCTTAACAGGATTTTCTTTTGTACAGTTTGTAAGAAATGTCATCAGACCTTTATGTAATAAACCAAATATTAATATTTTACTCAAAATATTACGCCCCATGTCCAGGGGAAAACAACTACAGGGGAATAATTACCAAATGAGGTTAAAGTGGTGGATTTCCTAAGAAAAAAATAATCATTTACAAAAAGATTCCCTTCAGTCGACAACCAAATGCAGACACTCAGATGAGATTAATTAAATGTATTCATTGAAGGTCAATGTAGCAATTCAATGAGCATATCTTCAGAGTTGCCACTGGTCAACATAACAAGCAATCTACAAAGTAAATAAACTAAATAAATCCTTAAAGAAAAAAATACAGGCAGCTTACCTTCCTCTGAACATAAAATCAAAAGTAACCAAAATATATAAGCAGGCCACCCCTACAAGCTCAAACTCTCAAAGTTTCAAGCATACGTGGACATACGTGACAATAGTAAAGTTTTGTTGTTGGCCAGCGGGGTAGGGAAAATCCAGGAGCTCTCCACTCTCAGCAACAGTCACACCAAAATTAGCTCCTTGAGCCGGAAGTTCCATGTTATAGCTCTCCACGACCAGCAGCCAATCAGAACCTGGACCACATTAACATGGTAGCGTATGGGAAAATAAAAACAAAACAAGAAAGTGGGACAAAGAAAAAAACTAAATAAATAAACTTTAGTCATTACAGAAACCCATACCAAAATCAGTTCAGTAAATCTAGAGAATCTGCGAATTTTGAAGTACATTTACATTTGAATACAGCATATTTTTCACAGTTATATATTTTTATTTTTATTTTTTCCTTCACTGCAGCAGTTACAGAACTCTCTCACTGCCCGATCCAATGAAGTCGGCAACGTGGCGTTCAATATTCAGGTGTTCATCTCTGAGCATGCTCAAGACCTGCTGCCTGATCAGAGCAGACACCTTCTTGGACAGCTGGAGCAGCTGCAGAGGGTCTTTCACCAGGCCGTTGGTCTCAATGATGCCAGAGCAGAGGCACTATTAGCCCAGCAGATGAGAGAGCATGAACGACTGAAGAAAGAACAGAAAGTGAAAGAAGAGAAAATGGAAAAAGAGAGACAAGCTACAAGGGATAGAGAGGTTTGCAAACAAACGAATAACCGCTTGAGCTGGCAGATGAATAATAAGAATATTAATTTTTCTTTTCAATGGAGACTAAGGAGAACTTGTAATGCATAAGAGCAAAACATTTGTGGTAACACTAATGATGCATGCAATACTCGTTAGCATGAATGCTGAATTTGAAAATGAAAGTAATATTCACATGCATGAGATTATAAGTATATTCTACTTGTGTGTTTAGCACCAGTATTGCTCATAATGCTAATATTTTTTTTCTCAATAATGCTTATGCAGGACTCAACAATGACGACTTTTGTCTACCGTCTACTCAAACAAGTCATTTAGAATTTTTGTTATATATTTAAATGTGGATGTGTATTTCTTTTGGCTATACAAAAACATTTAAATCTAAAAACAAGTACATTTTATGGCTAAAATGATTGTTTATTTAAAATGTAACTCTAAGCAGTACATTCTATTAATATACTTTATTATACTTAGTATTATGTACATTATAATATAATAATGTAATAAATAAAAAATAAAAAATAAATATATATATATATATATATATATATATATATATATATATATATATATATATATATATATATATATATATATATATACATACACACACACACACACACACACACATGTACTTTATCTTCCTCTTTGGCATGTACAAAATATACCACTTAAAAATGTAATGCTTGTGAATATGCAATAAATTCTCTTCCCTTCTAACTCTAATGCATGCAAGACTATCACGGGTATCCATTTTGAGTCATATATAACATTACTTTATTCGAATCAGCGGAGTTCCTTATTGTTGAGCCCTGTTTTGTAGACTGCATTACCTGCGTGTGAATTAACATAACGTGTGTATTAACCTATCTGCCTTGCTCTTACAGATTGCCACAGAAGACACATTTGGGAAAGACTATAGATTTAAATGTAGCCTCACTGTGTAGCTTGCTTGTCATTTAATTTGATTTATTTCAGAACAAAATCCAGTTGAGATGTTTTACTATTTGTCTGTTTGTCTTTTGTTTATTTTTCTGCCTCACTGGCCTGTTTGAGAGTGTTGCTTTGTGTGATTGTGGACACATTATGCTCAACCAGTGTCAATTGGTTGAGACCTGGCATATTTGCAAGTTTGAGAGTTTGGTGGGGAAGTAATAATATAATGAACAATTGTAAAGTCTTAATGATGATCAATTTCAGATCTTCTTTTCCTCACTTTTCATACCTCATTCATTACGGTTATATAGGTTGTGCAGCAGCAGAAGGCTGAATGTTCTCAAAAACTGGAGAGTCTCACAATGTGGATGGCTGGTGCTGCAAGTCTTTTGGCCAGTCAGAGACCTGGAGTTGAGTCAGATGACGTGCACACATTACAGGAGAAGCAAAGAGCGCTTAAGGTAAGATATATTTAAGAAAATTTTGACTTTCCGTCTAAAAGTCTAACACATCGCATAACCCTTAATTTATTTTTTTTCTATAAGAATTATTAGCCCTATTGAAATATTAGTAAATGCTTTTACAGCTTAGATGTTGTTATGTAATTACAATCAGTTAAATAGACTTTGGCATTCATTTAGTTGCTCAAGCGTAAAGCGAGAAAAAAAGTCGTTTACTCGTACGCGCCCATCAGAATCGGCAGGTTAGCGCAGAAGCTCCATTGAATATACTGGGGTAAAATAAATGTTCATATTTGGGGTACATGGTGGGGAAAATGTAATTCAATGCAGTGCTTCTTGTTCAATCTGAGACCCACTTTATATCAGAAATCACTCAGCCAGTGGAGATAGCAGATTTTTAAAGAAAACAGACCTTAAACGTGCTAATTTTGCAGTGGCGTACAGTTCACCGAAAGCGCTTAACCCAGGTTACTGACAAATTAAAAGTCCTTTCGCATACTTCGGCACATACCCTATTGGCACAATGTCCACCGGGGTTTTACACTAGTGGAATTTACATGAGAACAAGGAAACTGGTGTCTGAGGCTCACGGTATGCCCATTTCCATGTACTGATCTCTTATTATGACTTGGCACTGTATAGCCAGATTTTCATAATAGGGCAACTTTAAAGGCTTAACTAAGTTAATTAGCTTAATAAAGCAAGTTAGGGTAATTAGGTAAGTCAATGTATAATTGTATAATAGTAGTTTTGTTCTGTAGACAATCGCAAAAAAATGCTTAAGGGAGCTAATTATATTGACCTTAAAATGCTTTAAAAATGTTTTGAAAACTAGCCAAAAAAAAAAAAAAAAAATTCTTTCTGGACTTTCTCCAGAAGAAAAAAATTATAGGAAATACTGTGAAAAAAATCCTTGCTCTGTTAAACATAATTTGGGTAATATTTGAAAAAGAAATTCACAGGAGGCTAATAATGTTGACTCTAACTGAATATTGTTCCTGTTTGTACCTCATAACCATAGGATGTGCAGAAGGACATTCAGACCAAAAGTGACTTATTGATCGAGACCATCCGCTCAGTGGAGGAGTTCCTGTCTGATCAGGGTGACGCTTTGAGTCCTGAGGAAAAGGCTAAACTGCAGGCGGCTCTTTCACAAATGAAGGAGCAGCACAGCTCACTTACAAACTCAGTCCACTCTTCACTAGCTCAAGTAGACACTGCCATTGTCACAACACAGCAACAGAACACACAAAGAGTAAGCAGTTCACACAGGAGTCTCTGTTTCACTTTTCTCTTGGTCATTTGTGGACTCATCATCATGTTTTGTTTTTGCATTAGGCTAAAGCAGAAGAGCAGATGCAGGAGACACAGGAAAAAATAGACAAACTTTTCAGTGAATTATCATTGCTGGACGACTCAAAGAGGAGGTCCCTTGGCAGCATAGTCACTGACAACCCGTTATCTGTACCACAAGAGAATGCCCTGAGCTCTCACAGTGGCATGCTTCAGGTAAGGTTTTTTAATGTAATTGTCAGTTATTTGCAGAACTTGTTGTAATAATTTTCAGTCTTTTAACATCTCATTAGTTTTGGATCACACTTTATTTTGATGGTCCGTGTTGAATTCAAGTCACATTGCATCTATATAATTCTTTTTAGATTATAAGTAGACTTGAATGTCTGTTGAAGGAGCAGTATCAACAGATATTAAGCAGAGAGTCTATTAATACTCAAATGGACCATTAAAATAAAGTGCATGAAATCTGAGGCTGAGACTAGATCCAAACTATTTACGCCACCCCATTTTCAAAATGTGAATTTGAAAAGGAAAAAAAAAAGGCAAATCAATTATTTGACAATGAGGATTGGAGCTTAAAATGCAAACTTGAAAGTGATATTGCTACTTAGCATACATAATACAGTGTTTTTAATCACATGAATAGGCATCGATTTTACAAAGTTGTTATCTTTTTGCAGAACTTTTCCAAAACATTAAAGGGCACCTATGATGAAAATCAACATTTGTAAGCTGTTTAGACTGAACTGTCTATATCAGGGATCACCAAACTTGTCCCTGGAGGTCCGATGTCCTGCAGATTTTAGCTCCAACCCTAATCAAACACATCTGACACAAAGACACCTGACACAAAGACATACAAAGACACTGATCAAGGTCTTACTAGGTATACTTGAAACACCCAGGCAGGTGTGAAAGTTGGAACTAAACCCTGCAGGGCACGGGACCTCCAGGAATGAAATTGGTGACCCTTGGTCTATATGTACAGTGTAGCGTGTCCATGGTCATGTTTAAGTGATATAAACACAATAAGTCTCTTTTTTTAATTTCCTGTTGTTAAAATAAGAGTCAAATCCCAGTGAGTTTGAGGCCCACCACAATGTGACGTAGGAGTGCAGTTTTCCCCTCCCACTAAATTGATTGACAGGCATCATGTTTCTATAATAACACGTATGCACATGTCCACAGAACATTTGTTTTGCTAAGAAATTGGAATTAAAATATCTGTTCCAACTCTCTGTGATGTCTAAAAGTTTTATAAGTTTAAAACATTTTTAAAACAGAGCCTGTTTGTAATAAAGACACTATGTAATCCTTTGCCTCCTTAAGCACCAAGGCCGCATGGTGTCAGTAAATGCTAATTTGTGTGAGACTCATCATTTTAGAAAGGCTTGAATAGGCTCCACCACAAACACATCAAACACACTTACTTGGTATTTTTGACTACTGAGCTGTATTTCAGCTTCATCTGTGTCTGTATCACTGACGGCTGTTTGTCTGACTTAACGCATGATGAAAAGCAGACAAGCACATGGGAGGGGTGGGCGGGGAGAAGCAGCTTATTTAGATTTAAAGCCACAGGCTACAAAAACAAGACACCAAAAATGGGCAAATTCTGGAGGCTATAATAAATGATCTGATGGGTGTTTTGAGCTGAAACTTAACAGACACATTCTGCAGACACCAAAGGCTTATCTTACGTCTTGTGAAAGGGGTGAAATAGGTGCTCTTTAAGGAAAATTGTTAAGCTTTTGGTTGTTTCTGGCTTGTGTTTGTGTTGTATTGCATGTTATTCTTACCGTATGTCTTTTCTTGGTTCCACCAGACTGAGCTGCAGCAGTTACAGTCTCAGCAGGCTCATCTTCAGCAGGTGGCCCAGTCTGTCCGCTCTCTCTTGGAGCAGCCTGACTCCAGTGTACCACCAGAGGAGAAACAAAGCTTACGAGCAAAGCTTGACCAACTCCAAAATCAGCATCAGGAGCGCCTCCAGAACTGCCAGGACAGACTCAGACGGGCAGATGCTCTCACAGATGAGTTCACCAAATTTGTGCAGGAGCATGGAAACCTGGGAACATGGCTGGATCAGAGCGAGAAAGAGCTATGCTCTCTTGGTGAAGGGGAAATGGATGCAATGGATCTAAAAAACAGAGTAGATGAGCACAAAAAGGTCCTAAAATGAAGTCTTAGTGATGTTTAACGCTAAGAATTTAAGACACAGAGGAAATGAAATACTTATAAGCATGTTTCAATGTATTTTACAGCTTGCAGAAGATGTCATCTGTCACAAAGCAGATCTGCGCTTTGTCACTATCTCTGGGCAGAAGGTTCTGGATTCTGTCCAGTGTGCCCTGCAGAGGATGGGCAGTGCAGATCCGGCTCTGGAGGAAACCAAAAATCTAGTCAGTGACAAGCTCCAAGATGCCACACAGCGCTACGGTTCATTACATAGCAAGGTTGGTGAATAACAAAACCTCAGTCTACAATGATCTATAATGGACTGAACATAAGAGTATTCCTGTGTTTCTACTTTCAGTCTTCAGAACTTGGCACCCGCCTCTCAAGTCTCCAGGAGCGATACCAGCACTACCAAGATGAGGCTGGTTCTTTAGACTCGTGGCTGAACTCTCAGGAGCAGAACCAGAGTATATTTAAGCCCAGCGGAGAACAAACTGACCCTCAGGCCTTGCAGCGCACTCTCAGTACTGTACAGGTAGGATTACTTTGGCTTTTCTGGTGAAGAAATCAGGGATGATTTTTGGATTAACTAAATAGAATGCAAAATGCAGTTTTCATACCTGTAGGAATCCTCCTGATTAATCCGCTTGTTCTGTCCTCTCTCAGCTGCTGCAGGATGATTTGGCAGAGCGTTCAGTACAGCTTGAGAAGGTCAAGAGGGCAGGGAAAGAGCTGGTCAGCATTAAGGAGTCCCCAACTCTCAAGAATGCAGATATTAAGAATGTGACAGGTAATTTCATTCTCATCATCAGTGAATATAATAATTAAGAGCGTGGCACTTTACTCTTTTTAGAAAACTTTCTCCTGTTAATTTCAACGGGATAGTTCACCCAAAACTATGTCATCATTTATTCAGACTCCACTTGTTTCAAACCTATTTGACTGCCTTTATTCTGTTGAACACAACCTATTTATATTAAGCATGTAGGAAACCAGTATCCTTTTGACTTTTTTCTGCTATGCAAGTCAATGGCTACCTGTTATTTCTTAACATTTTTCAAAAATATCTTATTTTTTTAATTATTCTACCAAGAAGTCTTTTTGATAGGAAGCTTGTATGCTCACCAAGATTGAATAGAATAACAGTTAAAAAGGAAAATATTATAGCTATAATGGAATATAATGTTTTAAATATTATTAGTTTTGTATTTTCTAAAAGCCAATACTTATAGTCTTTCAAAATATTTCTACTTTGCTGAATTTGTACTATAGCAATAGTAAGTAAATATTGTGAATATACGTTATAGTTAATCGTTTAATAATAATAATAATAATAATAATATTAATAATAATAATAATGAAATTGTTAAAAATGTTTAAATAAGAACAAAAATAACTTAATTTTTGGAAACAAACTGCCTGAAACATTAATTTTTAATTGGTAAGTAAAGATAATGTAATGTAAAGTAATGTGATGTCGAGTATTTTTGTTTTGTGGTTGACATTATAATTCAAGTCATGTAATAGTATAATTTAAGTCATTTTATCTTAACATTAATTTACATTCAAATTCTGCATTCATTTTAGATGCTCTGGAGAAGCGCTTTGAAACCCTTTCTGATTCAGTGTCTGTAAGAGCCGAACAGCTTCAGACTGCTGTGGCCCAATCAGTCAGTGTTCAGGAGGGGCTTAAAGCACTGCTGGCGTGGTTAGATGGCCTGCCTTTATCACCTGCTGCTGTCCAGCCCACTGCTCAAGCTGTTCAAGATGCCCTGACACAAAACCAGGTATCTTATTAAAAGCACTGCCATAATCATCCTGGATTTTTGTACCGAATGTTGTTTCTACTCTCTACTTGTTTACTATTTATTTCAATGTCTGTTTGTAATATCTCTTTTTGTTACAAAATTTGTAAAGCGTCCTTGAGCTCTGGAAAGGCGCTATATAAATAAAAATGTATTATTATTATTATTATTATAATCATCAATCATCTTTAACCAGTAAATATGTTTTCAGAATGAGCTTTATTTGCCAAGTGTGTGCAAACAGCATAAACATTTTAAATGAATATAAAGTAAAAAAAAAAAGTAAGTATATCTAAATATATATTTTATAAATAAAAAGAATAAACAAATTATATATATATATATATATATATATATATATATATATATATATATATATACATATATATATACATATACATATACATATACATATATATATATATATATATATATATATATATATAATATACACACATACACAGTCCTCAGCATAAAAGAGTGTACCCCCTTTTGAAAATTAGTGTTTATATCCTTTTTTCAGTGATTATAGCCATTTCATTTTGGTGAATTTAAACAAAACAGTTTTAATATACAAAATTTGTAGTAAATTATATATTTTTCTCCTGATTTCTCCCAGTTTATTACAGTTTTATTCAATATTTTTCTCCAACATATTTATTTGGGTGTACTAATTTTTTGGACTCTAATCTTTGATTTTTTCTGTTGTTTTTTTGATAGATTAGGTCTAGATTTGTCTTTGGTGCTCACTAATGAAATGCATATGAACCAATATTTTATTTTAAAGCATCTTATTGAAAACATTAATAAGTCTGCGCCAATAGCCTAGTGGTTAGTGCTTCGACTCATAGCACCAAGGTGCTCACGGTGACCCGAGTTTGAATCTCAGGTTCGAGGTCTTTTGCCGATCCATCCCCTATCACTGTTCCCCACACTTTCCTGTCTGTAAAATCTCCACTGTCCTATCCCAATAAAGGTGAAAACCCCTAAAAAATAATAATAAAAAAAAGAAAAGAAAAGATTAATAATAAAATACATTTTAAATGGTTTATGTGCAACATGCATTGTTAATGGTTTGCGCAGCATACACTACCTGACAAAAGTCCTGTCGTCCATCCCAGTTCAGAGATCAACATATAATAACTTGGCTTCTAGTTGATCATTTGGAAACGTAGCAGGAGATAGATTTTTCTGATGCATCATTAGTTAAACTGCATCCCAATTATCACAAATACTGCAGAAGAACTATTGGAACCCACATGGACCCAAGATGAAAATGACAGAAAACTGAACTGAAAACTCACTGAAATCAGTTAAGTTTGGTGAAGGAAAAATCATAGTTTAGGGTTACATTCAGTATGGTGGCGTGTGTGAGATCTTCAGAGTGAATGGCAACATCAACAGCCTAATGTATCAAGACATCTTTGCTGCCCATTACATTACAAACCACAGGAGAGGGTGAATTCTTCAGCAGGATAGCGCTCCTCATACTTCAGCCTCCACATCAAAGTTCCTGAAAGCGAAGAAAGTCAAGGTGCTCCAGCATTGGCCAGCCCAGTCACCAGACCCTGAACATTATTAAGCATGTCTGGGATAAGATGGAGGCATTGAAGATGAATTTAAAGATTCTTAATGAACTCTGGGAGTCCTACAAGAACACTTTATTTGCCATTCCAGATGACTTTATTATTAAGTTATTTGAATCCCTGCAGAGATCTTTGAATGCATTCCTCCAACCTCATGGGAGTCATACACAATATTCATTCTTTTTCCACTGCACCATGACTTTATATTCTATAATGTGCATTATTTTTGTTAAATAACAAGACTACCTGCTGAAACCATACCTTTCAGCAAAGGCATACCTTACTGCCCTAATTAATAATTGAATATCAAGGCATAAAAATATTTTGTTTAGGTAAAATAAGCGTACTCTAGAGGCCTTTGCCTTTCATATAAGCCATTTCTGATACCAAATGATCAACTAGAGCTCATAAAACTTGGATATGCGACAAGACATTTGTCAGGTAGTGTATGCACTCTTGACTTTTTTATCTGTACAAATACGTAATAAATTAAAAATATGTATTTACAAATGGTCAGCTTTACTTTTTTTTATAAAAACACAAATGATTCTCCTCCCCACAGAAAATACGTCAGGAGCTTCTTTCGAGGCAGGGCAGTGTTGATGCCACTTTGGACTCCGTGTCCAAGCTTCTGAAGTCTGCAGACGCATCAACAGCTTCTGGCCTACAGAGGGCGCTGCAGGACTTGAGTCAGCGCTACACAGCAGCCCAGGCCAAGCAGTCGGAACGAGAGACTGAACTGCGTGGACTTTTGCCCAAGTTGGAGAGCTTTGAGCGCCAAAGTGCAGATCTCCGCAACTTCACACAGAGTCGAGAAAGGGCTCTCAGCCCAGTAGGCCAGCCGGACTGCAGTGTGGATGACTACAGGCAGACCATAGAGGTTAGAGAATTAGGCTACACATTTCTACAAGATTACATGTTTATTGTTAGATGTCCAGAGGTGTCATCATATATTGCTTTTTCATTAAAGGAGGTGAGGTCAGAAATTACCCAAGAGTCGAGCCAGTTAAAAGCGTTTGTCGAGCTGGGTTCAGATCTGAGTCATTCTGGGGTCCTTGCCAATGTACAAAGCCTTCTGGACACAACCAAAGAGGTTTCTGAGGACTTCGCACGCTTGGAATCTAATGTCAATGAGAGGTGAGTGGAAAGAGTTGCGAAAACATTGTGTTTCAGTATTGCTGTATTGTGTGTGTGTGTGTGTGTGTGTGTGTGTGCGCGTGTTTTAATATATTTTCATATTTCATTTTTTTTCAGTTACTTTTCATGAATTTATAAAATGTCTAAATTCTAACTTTTTTAGCTTTTGTATATTAATAACTTTTATTTTATTGTTATTTTAAATTGATTATTTATATTATTTAAATATTTTTAATGGGGCAACAGGGTGGCTCGGTGATTAGCACTGTCGCTTCACAGCAAGAAGGTTGCTGGTTTGAGTCCCAGCAGGACCAATTTGCATGTTCTCCCTGTGTTTTGTGGGTTTCCACCAGGTGCTCTGGTTTCCCCCACAAGTCCAAAGACATGCTATATACAGTAGGTGAATTGAATAAGCTAAATTGGGCGTAGTTTATGTGTTTCCCAGTACTGGGTTGATTCTAGGCATGGGCCGGTATAAGATTCTGACGGTATGATAACCTTGGATAAAAATATCATGGTTTCACGGTATCACAGTATTGTGCTCACTGCTCTAAAATATATTATTTTTAAATGTCTGGGTAAAAAACATTTTAAAAAACAATATATTTAATTTTTTTAAAGGATTTAAAATATTTTGGAGCAGTAAACATGTTTGGCTAATTAATGAAAATGAATAATTGACTTCTGCTTTCTTCATTAGTTTCAAAAACACAGATTTCTTTACAATATAAAACTGCATCTTTGGATATTTTTCCTGCTGGAGATAAGGTTGTCCTAAAAAACAAAAAAATATATTTTAAAAATATCTTACACATACCTTAGGAACAATAATACAGAACATTTTGATGGTTTTAATACCTTGACTTTTCCAAACAGCGTATACCTTGAAAACGGTTATCGTCCCATGCCTAGTTCATTCCGCTGTGGCGACCCCTGATAAATAAAGAGGATAAGCTGAAGGAAAATTAATGAATGAATATTTTTAATTTAGATTTTTTTTTTCAGTTGATTTTTTTTATTTTTATTTTTTTAGTTTTATTTTAGTTAGCAAAACTGGTTAATTTTAATTAATAACAGTAACCCTGTATTTATCCATACTGGAAGCCAATTTAACACTTAAAAAAATATTAGGATATTGTAATATTATCCCCATTCAGTGTAGAATAGCAAGTCTGTTCCAAGCTTTTCTCTGTATCACACTGTAGTTTCATTTGGAAATGTAATGCCCTGCCAACTATAATTGCTTTGACATTTGACATCTGACAAAAATAAGACTCTCATAAGAATCTCATAAAGACTGTATTGACTGGACCGGAATACTCTCCACCATAAAACAAATAGCCTCATGCTAACCCAATTTGACACCACTGTATCAGCCGTTATGGAAACCATTTGGCCACATCCATCCTTAAGATGCCAGACTGGGGCTCCAAGCATTTCAGATGTCCTCAGGGAGGGCTCATAAAACAGTCAGTCATGTGTTCAAATCTAAATCCACTCCACATATCTCTAGGAATAAGTGGGAATGTGATGCAGACTGTAATATAAACTGCATTACTTTTCTTTTTATTTAGTTAAATAACTGAATGTAAATGATAGGATGTTTAGACATGACCTTCCCTTGACTGCAACTAACAGTGTTATAGGCATGGTGCCCACATTAAGAGTCTGGAGTGGAGGCTGGCACAGAGTAATATCAAACACAATGTCCAAATCTATCACCATCACCTAAAATAGTAGCATCCACTGTTGCCTTATTAATAGGGGGGAGAAAAATATCTTGTTGTGTCCATTTACTGTTAAACTGTTTCAGAACAGCAGTTTATAATTGTTTTGCTGTTACATGCATGTATTAATTGCTTATACTCAGTAAAAAGTTCTTCTCAGTATTTTTTCCTGTAAAAAAATAAATAAATATAAAGAGACAATTTTTAAAGATGTAAACAAAAGCAATAGTCCCAATATATTTCCTGTTTTACATTTTTCATTTCTAAAGCGAATTCAAAAAGAGCCACATGTTGATAAATAATGTTATGATAGCTGTTTTAACATTAAGTTATGATTGAATTGCCTCTTGTTACAATTATGAAATAAACTGATAACAAGCAGGAAATGTTCATGGGTCAGTAACATGACCACATTGAAATATATTTTTCTGAATGATTATATTTTTTAGCCAAAGATGTTTATATTTATCAACACAGTTAAAACATTTTTACATTTACATTTAGTCATTTAGCAGACGCTTTTATCCAAAGCGACTTACAAATGAACAATGAATTGAGTATGAAATTGATGACAATATAAGGGATGTTTGAGATATGGAGTCATTATATTAAAACATGTCACTTTTGATAAATGCATTGTTTAACATTTATTAAATGTTTTGTTTTAATAAAGCTAAAAGGCCCTACTTGACTCCAATTTAAATAATTAAAAGTTTAATTTCTATTGTCTGTGTCTACTTTTATTACCTTTTATTGAGCTATTTTTGCATGACAGGAAACTACCAAGTGTTCATAAATGATGTTTAGAAAAAGTGAAATATGGAACAAAACAGGACACTAAAAATAGACGCTAAAATACAGAACTGTCCTAGTGTCTGGAAAATACTGGACTGTCCGAATGACCAGATATCTATCTCATTGTCCTACTATGAATTAGTTAATATAATAATAAATAAAATCACTTTATAACCATTATCAATACTAACCAGACTAATCAGACTATTTATTTGCATATGTAATTGATATTCATCTAAATTTGTCGTTCACAGATTTGATTCCATCCAGAACTGTGTTCAGCAGTTGTCCGACTTCCGCTCGCGCTCCGGCTCCCTCCTCAGGTGGCTGCAGACAGTACAAGAGCAACTCCCTGCCAAAGAGCCCAACCTAAGCACAGAAGGCCTGCAGAGAAGAGCACAGCAGCTTAAAGTAGGAGTCTAGTTGGCTCTATTTACAGTGGACTGACATCAGTTTCTGCTTTTAGCGAGTCTGGCTTTAATTAACATGTCTTATGAATCTACTCGCAGGATCTGCTCACGGAATGGGAGACCCAAGGAAACCAAGTTCAGGAGTTAAACAAGAACAGTTCTCAGCTGGAGAACTTGATTATTAACACCACAGCACCCAAGAACAAGACTGGTAAGTTAAATGACAGTGTGGAGGTTCAGGGTCAGTTCTCCTTATATTGGCATTTGATCGCACATTGTATTTCCCCTTTAACACAAATATATATTTGGTCCTCAGATAAGCAAAAGAAAATTCAGACCCACTTTATATTAAGTGGCCTTAACTAATATGTACTTACACTGAAATTAATCATTTGTTACAATGTACTTATTGTGTAAATACATGATTTTTACATTGTACTTATGATTGATTAAATACCTGCATTTAACTACATATGTAATTAATTTCTTTATTTACATTTGTAATTACACAGTTGGCCATCCTTTACACATTAACTCACCTTTAAACCTACCTATACCACCAAACATGTTTCTAACTTTACCCGTATCCCACCTCAAGAGCACCTGCAATACCTTATGAACATAGTAAGTACATTGTACTTGCATCAAAACATAAATACATTGTAGTTAAAGCCACCTAATATAAAGTGGGATGGAAAAATCTATTCAGTTTATTTATTTATTCATCTTCATGTTGTTCAAAATTTAGAAAATGTGTCTTCCGCAGAGCCTAAAATGCAAAACATTAATACTATTTAGCGGCACAACCACTAGTGGGACTGGTTTAAATTTTTGTGTGCAGTGCAAAAACTATGAAAGCATTGGCATATCTCAAATCACTCACCTGATGCTAACATTTGTTTTTACACATCTTATATCATGCAAAGTTTCATGCAAATATGAAATAATGTTATCATATTTTAGACTTTCTAATTCTGAAAATCTTTTGCCTCAGAAACCACTGCAGTCAATCAAACCTTTTGAAATAATTAAAATTATTTAGATTATTAAGGAATAAACAGCTTTTTCAAAGTAATTCAAGATTGTTCACCAACTTTTGCAAAGCCAGTGTGGTACTGATATCTGGACTGCATAAATAAATCATTTAAAAATAAATAAATTTGGTTGAGAGGTGGACAATATATCTAAATTTTTTAATTCCTAATCAAAACTAGATCTTCACACAATTAGTTGAGCACATGTTCTGTAGGTGCCACTAAAACTAATCATTTTTTGTTTTGCTGAAATGTCTTACTTGCGCTTTTCATCACTTTGCACCGCAGCGAACTGCAAATCTTGTCGCACAAGCTTGCGCTTCTGGTCTGACGCGTTTGCATGTGTATGAATGGAAGTCTATGGGGAGAAAAGTGCAGTGTGACCGCAGCTTTACATGTAGGTCTCAAACGAGCCTAAAGGACTCAATTAGTTGGATCAGGTGTGTTTAATTAGGGTTGGAACTAAACTGTGCAGAGCTGAGGCCCTCCAGAAACTGAGTTTGACTCCTAAAGTGCAATATTTATTCTCACTATTTGTAATATTCTACACTAAAACTGTAATGGACAAGTTTTTAAAAAAATATTAAACATTAAAAGTGTGTAAATTCATTGTTGCATTAAAAGGTGCGACCAGTGCATCGTTCATTTTTGTGCTCTTTGGAAGAGAAAATCCTTCTGTTTTGGAATGATATGAGAGTGATTAGTTTTGGGTGAGCTGTCCCTGAAAGCATCTACCACCTTCTAAACACGTGTTTGTAAATGTGTCTCCTCATCTAAATCCTTTCTGTTGAGTTTGTTTAGCTGCTTGTGTGTGTGTGTGTGTGTGTGTGTGCACTGCTTCAGCATGGATGTGGATTATTGTGGCATTGTCTGAGCGTGTGTTTGTGTGTCTTTCTCCCAGGTGTTTCCCAGCTCAATGGTGCCTCCAGCCCCAACAGTGTTAATGGCATTCACACCTGTAAAGGTGAGCTTCCTCCACACCTTTAGCGTCCACATTACTGGAGGCTTTTTATATTAGTCATTTCCATTTTTTGTTTCCCCCATTTCATGTGATAACTTCACATTTCTCCTCTTCTTCCTCCATCTTTCACGCACCTTTCCTGGTTTAACTTTGCATCGCTTCTTGTCCTGTTCTGTTAGTCTGCTTCCAGAGAATGTTCATACTAGTGTCATCTGTCTTTGTGCATATTATCCAATCATTTAGGCTTTCTTTCAGGATGAAAGTGCACAAACGTTTGATACAAAGTACTGATTACACAACAATTTTGAAAGCAATTCAAGTCGAAATTCATGCTCTGTAGTAAACTTGACTTGGTTCTGTAAGTGTAATGCTTCATGACATATTGCATGTCTTCAAACTACTAGAACACTGAGTGACTGATTACATAAGTTTTGAGATGTACCATTATGTGTATTTTATTTAAGAACTACTAGTAAATGTGAACATACTCTGAGGCAGCTGTCTATACAGCAGTCTATCTAGCCCAATCTCATAAGGAAACAGCTATTTTATGAATTGTGAGAAAAATGTTTAGTGTTGAGAAAAAATTTTACGATTTCATACAATTGTATTCTTATGAAAATGTACAAACCCTAACCCTACCCCTCATTAGGTGATTGAGATCAGACAAATAAATACGAATCAGCCACTAAATCAAAACTGAATTGCCATGAGATTGTGTTGTTCAATCACACCACAGCTGTGTTAAAAATAATTTATTGTTTGACTAGTAACTTGGGTTGGGCAATGTTGACCAATTTGGCATTGTACGATGTCTAATGTGAAATATTGTGTTGGCTGATGGCATCGTCGTCGTAGGCGGGGGGTGGGGGTCATTGTTAAATTTCAATTAATACATAATGAATTAATTTATTGTAGCCTACCGTTTTTACTACCTGGCTCTCATGGTCTTTGCATTACCCATAACTAAACCATAAAAGATACACACAATTTACCACCTGTCAATCACTTTTTTCGCGGGACTGGGGCATGAATAGGCAGTGATCTGTTTCGTTCAAATGGGTTTTCCCACAGCTGGTGAAGGAAACTTCGTTTGGAGTTCACTGTAATTTCTATTGTGATTGATGATAACTTCCTTATTTTATTATTATTATGAGGAAATAAAAACAAGTAAAGATGCTAGGGCTCGACCGTATTGGTCGCATATGCGCCCGAAATTTTATCTATGCGACCTTAAAATATATTTGGAAGCATTTGTGCAAGTGCGTACATTTTCAGTGTTTTCACTGCAAAATCCTCACCGCGTGCGCGAATTTATGCAGAATGCATCGTTGCACCCAAAAACGCCAAACGCAGCGCTCAGGAACAAATTAAAACAGTTGTTGTGTGAATTTGCTGAAATAAAAAAAGCCTGCAATGCTTGCCCCGCCTTTGTGCTCTTCTTACATTGACAGATTTTGTTTTAGAAAACAACTAAAGTTACTAATAACGGCACATCTTATTAGTGATGAATGTTAATCCACCATTTACACTTTTCCAAGAGTAGATAAAAGACTTCCAGTGTTTCAAGTCCGCTATGAAAATGACTAAAGCCATTCACTGTAAAGTCTGTGGGACGGGGATGCTGTATAATCCTTCATTTAATCCTCACGATGCTGTCAGCCGTGCAAGCGGCAGCTATATATACAATTTAACACAGCTCAGGAAAAGATTGTTATTGCTATTAAGATGACGCACGAATAATAAGTTGTATATCAATATAAATGTGGGGCGGGGCGATGGATCGTGATGCCGGCTCAGCATCGTGAAGTTTGTCGGCCATCGGCGATGGACGATGGCATCGTCTATTGGCCCAACCCTATTAGTAACAGTTATTCGAAAGTAACACTGGAGATCCAAAAAGCAATCTTTAGTAAAGTTTCACTCACACATCAACTGGCATAAAAACGAAAACAAAATTCTGAAATTATGTACTAATAATGCTGGTTTATACTTCTGCTTCGAGTGATCGGTGTGACCCATGGTTCCTGCCTTGCACGTTCATACTTCGGCATGCTGTTCTGAAACGTTTCTTGACAGATGTTTTGTTTTTTCTTAATGCTAACTTAATGTACAAGCAGTTCAAACTAGCTCATTCAGAGGCAGGAACCGGCATATGTGCAACAACTTTCACCATAATGTAAACACAAAACAAAAGTTTCCATCTGGAACTCCTTCACGGGACTCGGCACTCGTAAACACTTGCTCCAACGGGCTTTTAGCACTCATCACAGCCCACACTCCAAGCCAACTAATCACAGAGCTTGTGCTACTTATTGTTTCGACGTGTAGTTACATTTTTTTTGGGGGGTGCGGGTCATTGTTGGCATCAGCTATGGCGCGGGCTATGTGACGGCGCGAAGGCTGCACCAGACAATACGCGTAACTTGGCTCTGAATGAACAAATTTAGGAAACAAATTAATTTTAATCATAATTTGCCCTGATTTAACAAAAGCTTAAATTAATGATGAATAATACATCACCACAAATAAAGTCATAGAGCATTTTTTTTATTTGTTCTACAATAAATTTGATATCATATGCATTTTGCTGTTATAAAGAATTCAAAGCTTATTCCTCATTACTGTAAATCATTACTTGAAAAATGTCTAAAACATGTAGTCATTTAATAACTCTTTGGCCTTGTCATTGGCCTGCTTTGACTGTACTTACGTCAACATTTTTCCGCTGTAACCCTCAGACTTGACGGAGATCCAGGTAGCAGTGGCAGATGTGAACTGCAAGTATGAGCAGCTGGGCAGTGACCTGAGGGAGAGGAAGAGCAAACAAGAGTCTTCTCTAGAGCTGCAGCAGAAGGCCAGGCAGAGCACTGAAGCCCTCATCCAGTGGCTCGGCCCCCGTGAACAGAGCCTGGCACAAGGGCAGACCGCCTCACCTTCTCGGCCAGAGGTGGTGCGTGCTCAAGCACAACAGACCAAGGTAAAAGAACTGGATTCTATTTTACAGGGTATCAGACTACAGGTCCCTACATGACATGTATGATAGACCAGAAAATATGTTTCCTGTGTGAAATCTGAATTTAAAGCGTTTATTTTGCTAGTATTTATTGTTATTATTTAGGTAAACAATTAAGCTGTGCTAGTTAATCAATGGAAAAATTGTTTTGCTAATTTTAATTAAAAGATTGACCATTTGCTTGTGCTTTAAGAGTGGCGGTTCTTCTCTGTTGATGTCAGTTTGACAGCTTCAGCCACAATATTCTTAAACACGCCTTACCATTAGTTTGCTATGAGGAAATGATATGCAAAAAGAAAGCCCCGCCCCCTGCTCAGTAGTCTGTTTCAGTTGGAAGTACATTACCATATTGAAATAAGTCTCATCAACTTTAATTTAGTTTTGCCTTTAATGTTGTGTCATCATTCTCTAAAGAATTTGCAAACTCTATTTTTTGGTTATTCCATGTAATTACATTGTAAATTTGTTGTCTAGGTTTTACTTTCTGAGCTTGCTGAGCATTCTGGGAAAGTTGAGGACCTCAAGAACCTTTTAAAGCAGCTAATAAGAGATAATCCCGACTCTCCTGAAGTAGACACATGGAAACGTCAGCTTGAAGACATTGGTCAGTAAAGTGTTTCAAAATGTGGTATTCCTGTGGTATTATCGTCGTTCTAGCAATTAATAACTATAATGACCGAATCAAAGATATTCTGGACATTTCATTTGTTGTCAAAAGACAATCTAGACAATTCTATATCCATATTTGAGAATATATTTTACTGTCATGGATATTTTTTCTTAATATTGCTTTCCCACCTAGACTCCCGATGGACAAACGCCAATCAGACTGCATCACAGAGACAGACTGAATTGGAGGCGTGTGCTGATAGGCTGGGTAATTTTACAACAGCCGCCAGTCAGCTTGGACCATGGCTGCGGGAGAAAGAGCTGATGATGAGTGTCTTAGGCCCACTGAGTATCGACCCCAACATGCTCAACACACAGAAGCAGCAAGTACAGGTAAACTGCTTTATAATGTCTTGTTGTTTTTCTGTGTTACAACTCCTGGTCAGTCTAGGGGAGTGGGGTTGACTCTTGTCCAAGGATCTGGTTAAAACAAACACGCAAAAAAATTGTACTCAAAGGAACGACCACAAACAAAAATTGCTGTACAAATAAAGTCATTTATTACAGGTGGTGATAAGTGGAGCAGTTTGTGAGATATTTACAATCACAACATAACATAAATTAGAAAGACTGGCCAAGGGTGGCGCTATAGCAAAGAAACAATCAAAACTAAACAGTCTTACTACAATCAAATCCCCTCTAATCTATTCTAATAGACAAAAATACATGGGTTGGCGCTCACCCCCTTCCCTAGTGTATCTCTAGACAGTTGAACTCCTATGTGTTGAAATGTAAGTCACGTGACCTACTATATAAAAATATATACTTGTAGTGTGTGTAATTGTGTGTATTGTAATTATAAAGTAAATATTTTAGTCATATTTAATTTCTGCTATATTTTCTTTATGACCGTCAGTTCATGCTGCGTGAGTTTGAGACACGCCAACCCCAGTTTGACCAACTGACCCGGGCTGCAGAGGGAATCCTCTCTCTGACTGGAGATGAGAGATCGAGAGATGAACAAGACCTAGAGGAGGTGAGACGGGAGCTGGCAGACATTTCAGCGCAGTGGGACGACCTCACCTCTCGCCTCAGCGGCCGCTCACAGCAGATCGACCAGGCACAAGGAACAAGCCAACACTACCTGACCCTTCTCAGAGAGCTGTCCCAGAGCGTGGCGGATCTAGGCGAAAGGCTTGATGCGCAGGCCTCTCTAAGTGCTCAGCCCGAAGCACTGCGTCGCAGGCTTCAGGAAACTGGGGAGATCCGCTCGGAACTGGAACAAAGACGGGGACAATTGTCCCAAGCTGAACAGCTGTGTACGGAGCTCAGCGCAATTGTGGCTGAACCATATCTCAGAGACGAGTTGCACAAGAGACTGGAAAGCGTGAGCGGCCCCCTCAAGAACCTAGAAGAACGGGCTGGTGAGTAACATTTACTGATATGCAAGGTCAGATATGAAGTTGAAAGATAGGGTTGGCGATTTTAGAGAGGCTATCAGTTTCTAAAGATAAAGATCCTGCCAGTGCTGGATGATCAGTGAGTATGTTTACATGGACACCAATTCTTTAATAAGATTAATACATTACTCTGATTAAGAGTTTTTCATGTAAACACCATTTTATCATGACCTCAACCCAACTAACGTCATAATCGAACTAAAGAGAAATCGAATTAATGCATGTGGAGTATTCCTATTTTAGTGGCATTATTGATATGCAGTACAGACATGTAAACACCGCAATCAAACTATTAACGTTTTGTGGTACTTTTAGCTACGACACACACACAGGGCAGTTGTCAGGCATTTGACGACAAACAAATGAGAATGGGTTCAAGCAAAAGATCACTATTTTGGTACGAGTAGGAAATTAAATGGACATTATGAAGTTCCTTGACTTTGAAGAGAATTTATTAACTTTAAATGAAATGTGCTTGACAATTTGTATCCGCCATCGTCTGTTTGCATGCATAGTGTGCAAAATTAGCTTCAGTGGTTGAAAAATTTTAAACCAAACACCCAAAATCTCACATGGTGACATGACGAACATGAACTGTTATTGTGTAAAACATTAAAAGAAACTAGCATTGAATGGTTATGTAATGATGTTAATCAAACTATGCACTATGACATGAAAAACAGGAACATAAAACATTCAAAAAACTCATGTAAACACCTTAATCATATTATTGTCTTATTCAGATTAAAGCAAATAATTAGATTACTAATGCCCATGTAAATGTAATCACTGTTTACTGCCATCACTCTACAAAACATGACAGACAAAAGCAGATGCAGACCGGAGACCAGGAGTGGCAAAATGATAGAGATTCACCTTATGTTCACCAATGAGACAACAAAGCAGTCCAAAGTTCACAGAATTACAGTATCAACAAAATAATGGAGCATATCCACCAAAGCGTTTTCCTCCTTAGGCATGCACATCATTTCTCTATGGTTTTTAATGAGTGTCGCGTTTTTAGAATACCAGCAGAATGATGGAGCACTCTCTGCTTGCCACTTTTAAATGCACTGACAGTTCTTGTCATTTTTTTAGATTGCACACTTAACATAGTAGGCAACCTAATATGGTTATTAAAAAAAAAAAAAAAAAAAATATATATATATATATATATATATATATATATATATATATATATATATATATATATATACGTATATGTGTGTGTGTGTATATATATATATATATATATATATATATATATATATATAGAGAGAGAGAGAGAGAGAGAGATATAGATATATATATATATAGATAGATATGTAATTTTTAACATTTATATATGTTTTCTTATCAGCAAAATTGTCCACAAATTTCTGGGAATAACCGCCACAAAATAATTTTTCGCAAAAAATCACAAAACAAATCGTGAAAAACTAGAAGGTCTGATAAGTGTAGACCACTTAACATAATTGCTATTCAGTCATACTCTTTATTTGTTAACAGCCATAATGTTTTGTGCATGCATTATTGTTCATAATAGTAATTGTCAATCTTTTCTGTCTTCTTCCAGCTGATGGCTTGTCTCAGCTTCAGGCCGCTCTGTCCAGCACTCAACAGTTCCAGCAGATGTTTGATGAGCTTCGTAGCTGGTTGGACGGAAACACTGGGAATCAAACAACTGGGATGTCCGAAACCCTCCCTTGCCAACCTGACGCTCTGAAGACCCTTCTCACCCAACAAGAGGATTTCCAGCGAGCCATAGCACAACAACGCGGATCCTACGAGCTTATCCAGGCTGAGGGAGCATCTCTCCTGGCATCCCTTCCTGCGGGAGATGAGCGGTTAGCCTTACAGACTCGCTTGAACAACTTACGGCAAGACTGGGAGGTCTTAAACCAACATGCGTCAGAGAAACATTGCCGGATAAAAGAGACACTGACCCGTGCTGAGCTGTACCAACAACATCGCAATGAGCTTGTGCCGTGGATTGCGGAATGTGAGGTAAAGGAGGCAGAAATCAACCCATCGCTGGATGCTGCTGTCTTAGACGACTCTTTGCAGAAGGCTAGACAGTTGAGTCTTGATCTGGATCGCCGACGACCACTTTTAGAGTCTCTGAACACAGCAGCCGATCAGTTGCTGGAGCAGAGCTGCACTGGCGAAGAGGAAGTGAGAGATGAAAAGGCACAGCTCAATCGTAGAGTAGATGGGCTCTCAGAGCGACTGCAGGGACGCACGGCTCAGCTTGAGGAGTTAGGAAGCAGATTGAAAGAGTTTGAGGATGGCAGACAGGCTGTGGAAAGAAGACTAGAAGCTGCCAGGCATCAGATCGAGGTTCAAGAGGCGCTTGGACCACAAGCTTGTAGCAACAAAAGCCTGGAGCGTCTGCGAAGCCAACAGGAGCTGTTAAACTCTGTACAGCCACAGGTGGTGTACCTCCGAAATCTGGCTCAGGGACTGCTGCAGGACGCACCCCAGATATCTGCAGCCGGCCAAGATGGAGGCCAGAAGCTGCTGCAGCAAGCTTGCGATACGGAAAAAGAGTTTGAAGAAGTTACTGAGAAGGTGAGAGAATTTGCACATGATCAGGAGCCCCTGGAATGTGTCAGAAGGTTATATATAAAACCCGATCTGTAGTTGTGTCTGCGTTCATGTCGTGTCTGCTGAAATAAGACAGTCTTTTTCTGGCTTGCTCCAGATTTGTCTGGTCTTGTCATTTTCATATCTTGTAATCTTTTAATTTATTGTAGTACTACTACTACTACTTTTATTTTTAATGCTAATAATACAAAGACTAATGGTAGTAATAACAGTAGAAACAGTAGCAGTAGTAGTAGTAATAGTAGCGGTAATACTGTAGTAGAAGCGGTAATAGTAGTTGCAGTAGTAATAGTAGTAGTGTTAGTAGTAGTAGTAATAGTAGCAGCAATAGTAGTAGTAGCAGTAACAGCAGTAGTAGTAGTAATAGCAGTAGAAGTAGTAGTAGCAGTAACAGTAGTAGCATAGTTGCAGTAATAGTTGTGAAAGTAGTAGTGGTAGCAGTAATTGTAGTAGTTGTAGTAGTAGTAGTAGTAATAACAGCAGTAATAGTAGTAGTTCTTGTAGTAGTAGTAATGGTAGTTGTAGTAGTGATATAATTAATAGTTGTAGTAGTTGTAGTAGCTGCAGTTGTAATACTAATAATGTATAATTATACTCAGATTTAGTATAAAAGCATAACTTTAAATATAATTTATAGGCCTAGATTATTATAGTATATTATTCATTCTTTGAAAACAAGTTCACAGAATTCATCAATCCTTTCTTGAAAGTTGTTTTCCAACCAAAATGATGTCATTCCCTGGAGAATGATGTCATCGAGGAAATAGACTTTGTCCTTGCAGACTTTCATGAGGGAAAATAAAACGTGAAAAACAGGAATAGTCTCTATTTATTAAAAATATTCATTTATATAAAAAGTCAAAATAGAAATGAAGAAATGTACCTATTCATGGTAAATTATGGGTTCTATGTTAAAATAGCTCAGGGAAATAGCCAGAAATGACAGCATAAACATAAAAACAAAACCAGTGAAATGACTAAAAGTTTCTCATATTGTGATATATATTTTTATTAATAATAATAATTAAAAAAAAATATATATATATATATATATATATATATATATATATAAACGTACATTTTGTATACAGTACATTTTGATATATTTGGTAACATTGGGAAACCTGGTGTCTGGTGGAAGCTTGAAAATTCAGAGCGTTATAAGAATGCTCTCAGGTCTATTTACACATATCCTACGTAGCAAAATTTCTTTGGCCCACCTCTGGCCCACACAATCAGCTTTTGTGCCTGGCCCACATGGTGCAGTGAATTACAGTACATGACTGGACTAAGTCTGGCTTCCATATAAGGGCTAAACATGGACCTTATCTGGGCCTAGTCTCAGCCAAATTAATAACCCCTAACTTGGCATCAACTGGGCCAGCTATGGCCCATGTTTAACCATGGTCTTGAAGCCATATTTGGTGTGTCACGACTGCAATAAAATTGATAAACCCATGAAGCATTGCACTTTAGGTGCATTATTAATGGCCATGGTTAATAATAACATAATTTGTAAAATACTGTAATGTAGGTTAAATTCAGTTATTTTGCAACATACAGGAAACAATAGATTAATAAATCTTGATTGTTTCCTGGATCAAAATAAAGGCACTAGAAGATGCAAACAGCAGGATGGAAATTACGTTGTGCATCAAAATATTGCTATAATCGAAAAATAATTCAAATGTATTTTAAATGTGGGTCAAGATGGGCCAAACTTACATGGCCCACATTTCAATTCTTAACATCTGGGCCGAATACTACATTTTACATCTGACACATTTCTTGCGTGCCACCTTAAACACGGTGCCACGTCTGTCAAACCTGGGCCATGTTTGTATTACAAAGCCAGATGAACGCCTGCTGTTCCAGCTGTATGCCAAATCAGGGCCAGACCACTTTGCTACATGAGATGTTAATAAAAAAGTAAAATAAAAAAAATTAAAAAAAAGACAATAAAGTTAATAAAGTAGACAAATGTTCATAGGTAATAATAATAAAACAAATGTTATTTTTTAAAAATATAATAAAATCAAAGAAAGAAAGAAGGAAAGAAAAAAAACTTAAATGTCTTATTTAATTACTGCAGCTCTCTAATGATTTTAAATGCTGCTTTAATCCTCACTTGTAAGTTGCTTTGGATAAAACCGTCTGCAAAATAAGGAAACGTTCCCTCTCTTTCCCTCCACAGACTGAGCAGTGCTGTTCATCATTGGAGTCCCGGTTGCAGGGTGTTGGAGAGGTCCAGTCGCGGGTCCGAGATGTTTTCTCTCGCCTGGCTGATTTGGATGATGAGCTGGACAGCCTGAGCCCTGTGGGACGGGATGCTGACTCTTTGGCTTCACAGGCTGATGCCGTCAGAGGCTTCCTGAGTCGACTCAATGCCCTGCGCTCAGAATTGGAGAATCATGGTGGAGAATGCACAACTATGCTGCGTCGAGAGGGCAGCTCTCCTGATCTTCTGGCTCTCAGGAGAGAGACCGAAGCCCTGAGCAGACAGGCAGGCAAGCTGGCAGAGCGAGGCCAGAACCGACTGGCACTCATAGAATCTGCAGAGGAGCGCGTGAGAGAGTTCTACGCCCGTCTGGCTGATCTGCAGGCGCTTCTGGGCCGGGCAGAGGAGGTGCTGAACACACAGGCTGTGGTGGGGACAGAAGTGGAGGTCATCAAACAGCAGCTTCAGGAGTTCAAGGTAGGAAAAGATTTAGCAAACTTTACTTTTGGTGTGTAAGGTATTTACGCTCACATTGTGTGATTGCACTAGTGTTCGCAAACAGTGTTCTAAGGTTTCAGTCTTAGTGGAGCTCTAAAATAAACATGAGCTCATGTGGTTCAGATGATTATTTCTTGTTTTTATTTCGATATCTAAACAGTGTCTAGAAAAGCTGTCATACTAGGCATGGAGCGATAACCGGTGTTATGGTTTACCGTGGTTTGGAAAAGTCAAGGCAAAAGTGTTCTGTTATACCGTACCTAAGATACAGTATATGTAAGGTTTTGTATGTCTTGTAAAGGAATCTGTGCTTTTGAAACTAATGAATGTAGTTGATTAGTAATGATTTATTTAACCTGACATGTTTACTGCTCCAAAATATTATAAATGTTTCCTAAGATGAAATGTATAGTAGGGCTGGGCGATTAATCAAGAAGTAATCGAAATCTACATTCAAAATCTGTAATCGATTAAATTTTTCCAGGTCAAGTTTTTCCAATGACTTCTCTACTGTGTTTGGAGTCAAGTGACCCCGCTTTAAGGCTAATTCATTCTTATTATATTATGATTTATACTTGTATTATTCTGATATTAGAGCTGCACGATTAATTGTTAAAAGATTGCGATCTCGATTCGACCTCTAGACAATCTTGATCTAGCATTTCTACAAATCTACCAATCATATTTTCAAGTTCAGGAGAGAAGCAAAGGCAGCCGCACAAGTCTTCACATTGTATTAACTACGTAAGTTAGCTTAGCAACATAGACACCTCCAAATGGTGTTGAAAGAGTCACATACTGTCTCTATAAGCTTTAATTCACCCAATTGAATTTGTGTCTTCATGTATTACTGTATTCGCGGCCGCGAAATCACACATGACGTGAGCTGCTGACAGTGAGCTGTTACCACAGAGAGGGCGGGCACGCGCCTGTGAATGAAGTCTACTCTAGTAAACAGAACCTTCATAGGCTGTAAATAACAAAAAAAAATTTTACCAAGATATTATATAACTTTTTTTTTTATAGAAGTTACCCCAATACTGTAAAACTGTAATATTTTTATGCAAGATTATCACACCATCAGAATCTTATATCGGCCAATGTCATACCTAATAATTATGGTGTTGAATCAACCAACCTACTCCGACATTCACTGAGCAATGATTTGCAGATTATGTTCCAGAACCAGTGCTCAAAGCAAGCTACTACATGACAGTGTATGATACCTGCCAACACTCTCGTTTTCCAGAGAGTCTCATGTATTTCAGACCCATCTCCTGCCACCCTCTCATTTTGGTATTTCTCCTGGAAAACTCTTATTGGTACAGAGTATCCGATCGCAGTGGCTGCCCGAAACTCGGTGCATAGTACAGTTACTTAGCTGAGTTATTCAGACACCTCAGCGTACACCTAGACATCGCCCCAGTTGCACAATTTGGTCCTGTATGATATATATTATTATAATATTATTATTAATTATTAACTTTAAATAATTTTTATGTTTAGTTGTTGTACTTAGGGTGGCAAGGTAGCTCAGTGGTTAGCACTGTCGCCTCACAACAAGAAGGTCGCTGGTTTGAGTCTCGGCTTGGTCAGTTGGCTTTTCTGTGTGGAGTTTGCATGTTCTCCCCGTGTTGGCATGGGTTTCCTCTGGGTGCTCCGCTTTCCCCCTCAGTCTAAAGACATGCGCTATAGGTGAATTGGGTAAACAAAATTATTCCGAGTTCAGACTGCGTGTTTTTCAAAGTAGTCGTGTCACGGATATTTTCACACTGCATGATTATCTGGGTTAGCGTTCTGTCTGTGCTGTGTGTACACTGTAGGATGGATCGGTGACAGGAGAGTTCACACTGCATGACTTTAAAGTAGGAAGAATCACAGACAACTTTGTCCAAACTACGTCTCAAAACCAAACAAACGCGAGAAGTGACATGGAAACAGCTCAAGGTCACGTAATATATCTTTCGTTGTTAACTACATAGTGGAAACAGAAGGCATCCACTTCCCATCCACTCATCTGCGATTCTCTCATGTATCGCATCCATGATAGTTCATACTGTGTGACTCGCGTGAACGAGCACCGATTTGCCTGTGATTTCAGGCATTGGTCAGCGATTTTTCAAAACCTGTCGGTGAGTCAAAATCAGGGCTAAAATCATGCACTCTAAACCCGGCGTTAGCTGTTGTGTATGAGTCTTTGGACTGCGGGGCAACTCACTAACTTTGCTTAACAATAACATCTACTACCATTGTAATATTTTACAGTAGTTGTGATTTTGAGATTCGCTGTAAACTAAATGTGTGATTAAAAACACATTTTACTCCGCAACTTTGAATCTGTCCAATTAAAATATTCCATAGTAATATATCATAATATAATAATCTACTTAATTAATCATTCGAAAGCCACAATGTAGTATTACTTCAGTGAATTGTGCAGCCCTACAAGAACCTTTTCATAGAGCAAACCACTTTTTCCCACATGGACACACTGACTACCCAAACCTACTATTCAATCAGAATTCAGATCCATTCTCTAAACTCTTACCTCTTAAGTGTGTGCTTTTAAAAATAGAAAAGTAAGGAAAAATGGGTCCAGATCTGTGCACCACTTCTAGTATTTGTATAACTGCAGGTTTAAAGCTCTCCTCCCTGGGTAAATCCTCTTTTCCCGACATGTTCTCGCTATATTGTTCTTATCATTCTGGCTGTGATGGTGACGAGAGAATAAAGAGAGCTGTGTCCGCACTCAGAGTGGGCTGTTGGAGTTCACCTTTACTCCTCTGACTGTCTGATGAAACGTCTGTATCTCTTACTCATGCCTCTCGAGGGTGGCGAAAGAAAGCCGAGTGTGCGAGATGAGAGGTGTAGGTGGAAGTGGGAAGGAATGGAGCAGAGGAAATGACGGATAACGGTGGGCGACTAAGACCTCCAGGAGCAGGACAGTGAATCAGTGCTGTTGAAAATGTGTCTTGCTGAGACTGAATCATTCCATCCTCCGCCATGTTGGATTGCTCAGCAACAAAAGTATGACTAGTTTCATAGGTTTGGAGTGCTAGTGACCTTTAACTGAACATTTAATGAATTTAAATTAGAGGTAAATCTTTCAATGCGGGTTTTTTTTTTCATAGCACGCCACTGCTGAGTGCTGGCAGTGAGAGCTCATTAACAGTGCCACTACTTTGATAAACATTGAGCTTAATCTGACCGCACGATTAATCAATATGGGAGAGGATGCAAGAAGGTCATCTACATAAAAGCAGAATTATAGGGGTGTTTGACCCCCTAAATAACGATTGAACCCTCCTGAAGGACGTCAAAGCAAGATGTGTGCTATACCAGTCTGTATCTTACTTTATAATTATAATAATAATAAGAGAAATTTGATCTCCCCTATAATACCATTGACAATTCATAATCAAGCCTAAAGCCTCATTCACAATACGAGTGACTTGCAGCAGCAAATCGACAAGCGACCATTCATTTTTACAGAGAACGAGCGACTTCCGGCGACCTCTGTTTATGCGTGTGACAGCGACCGTTGGCAACCAGGTGGGCGTGTCAAGCAACGCAACAAAGTTGAGAATCCTTCAACTTCATGCAAATGAAGAGTGACTTTCTTGAGCGACAGCCAATAGGAGCACCAGTAGAGCTCACATGATCCTCTCTCAGCTTGCTCAGAGGCCGGTTGTATTCGTGCTGTATAAACCTACATAGACACAGACACTTGAAGCGGGTAGTGATGGGAAGTGCGGATCAGTTTACTGACTTGGAGTCTTGTTTATGAAGATGAACACATTTTTTTCGATTCATTCATTTTCTTTTTGGCTTAGTCCTTTTATTAATCTGGGGTCACTACAGTGGAATGAACTGCCAACTTATCCAGCATATGTTTTACTCAGCCCTTGCAGCTGCAACCTATCACTGGAAAACACCCATACACACTCATTCACACACATACACTACAGACAATTTAGCCTACCCAATTCACCTATGACACATCTTTGGAGTTGTGGGAGAAACTGGAGTGTCTGGAGGAAACCCACGCGAACACGGGGGAGAACATGCAAACTCCATGCAGAAACGCCAACTGAACCAGTCGAGGCTCAAATCAGCGACTTTCTTGCTGTGATTCGATCGTGTAACACACTGCTCCACCATGCAGCCCCCATTTCATTCATTTTGCCAACATAACAGTAAATGTTATGCTTCCAAACACATCTGCAACTAGCCCAAACGTTGATCACACTACAAACAAGTTAAAGCTAGAATGCTACTATACAATGCAATGCTACTCTACTAAAAAAGAGAAAATAATGCTTCATTGTTTACCTGGTGTTTTGTCTAATATTAGCTCTGCTCACTGCTTCTAGCATGACTTCAAATTTGAGTCATTCGTTTATTTGACACTGACAGTCCTATATAAGCTTAACTAATAAAACAAATAAACAATAATCAAATAAAAATGGCTTTCAATGTATAACCTTATATAATTTCCCCTCTGGTCTCTTTTTTATTTTTTACGTTATTTAATTTAAATGTTTTATTTTTTTTTTCTTTCACGCTTTTTTTGGTAGAAACGCTTAATACTTCAATACCTGCGACTCGTTTGTGTTCTGAAATCCAGGCATAAAACAGAGAGATGAGATGACATGACTGCAACCAGCGAGGCCTAGCTGTCACTTAAGTGGCCACGCTCTTAATTATGCAGACTTAATATAACCTAATAAAAACTAAACCAATCGTTCGAAAGAATTCGCCCTCCTCACAGTTGTCATGAAGGGTAATATTAGCTACATGCACCAAAACCATCTTTTGTGCCAGGCTGTAAACATGTTTTTATCAGCTGTAAATTTAGCCAATTTAGCATTGCAGTCAGTGAACATCTGAAGTTCCTGGAGCCAACCCCCAAAGGCGAGTCGATGAATTACAGTTTCAGTTACATCCGTATTGGCTTCAAAAGGGGGAGTGGGAGGTTG